TCTCGCGCAACAAGGGCGGCGCGTACATCGTGTGCGAACTCGACGGTACAGTCCTCGATCGACCCATCGCAGCATTCCGTGTCATTCCGTACTTCGCGCGCAAATCCATACCAATTCCCGAAGATCTCGAAGATGTCTCGACCGAGCGTCTTCGAGAACTCGAACTATCGAATTCTCTAGGCGACGACGACGATGATGAAGTCGAAGAAGCCGAAGAACGCGACGAATAGAGGATCTTCCCTTTTATTACTTGTACAACACGATACGTACTTTCTTCTCTCCATTCCTGCTCTCACGTTACGCGATATGTTTGATTTTCTCCTACGTTCCATACCATCCCTTGTACGAATACCTTCGATTCAACTCGATAGTCGCGACATCGTTCAACGTTCTACGAACGCTTCGATTCGACCGTTGCGCGGAGGCTCACCTTAGACGAGTCCTCCTAGGCTGTGATGACAAACTGAGCCTATAGTTTCATTAAGTCCATTTTCCTTCGCTATGAATGTTACTATTTTGCCTTCTATGACCTTCGATCATGTTACGACAGGCTTCGAACACTTATTTTCATTTTCATTTCTTAGTTCCCGCTAGGTTTCATCTAGGCCAAGGGCCGCATTTTCCATTCGACCATCTACGCAATGTTCTACGACTAGAAGACAACTACGATACAGGACGACCCGCGCCATCGCCTACTCATCGTCGACAGCCCCGCGCACGAAACCGATTCCGCCCTTTGCAAGCGCGGCCTTCTCCATCTTCTGGAGGTCGAGGTCCATGTCGTGGAGGAGCGCTCGACGGCGAGCGATGTGAGCGCGCTCCTCGCGGATGACGCGAATTATCCCCCGAGATTCGTCGTCGAGGTCGAGCGCATCGAGGTCGTCCTGTTCAAGGCCAAGGCGGCCGGCCCCATCGAGAGGCAGTCGAAGCAGGGGGCGCGGAGGCTCGTCGACGCGACGCTTCTTCGAACCACTCGAGTCCGCGGCCGAAGGCACAGGAGAGGTCGGCCGAACTACTAAGTCGTCAGCCCAAGCCTAGGACAACAAGAAGAAACAACTTACTGCGCTTTTTTGTGGTTGATCCCCCGCTGCGCGTTTTCTTTGTCTTGCCAAGAACAGACACCTTGTCGAAGTAGCAGCCCTGTTGGAACTGCGCGCACCTCTCGCAGGTCGTAGCGTTCTCGACCCACACGCACTCGACCGGGGCCGAGCGGTAGCCGGCGCAACGATCACACTATCAAGGAGTTAGCATCGAATCGCTTCGACGGAGGGTCGAACGTACCTTCTGTCCGGCCTGGTGCTTCGAAAGCGCAGCGGCGGCCATATCGACCTCCATCATCGCGAACAGACGTTCGAGCGTCCGCGGAGTCTTCTACGAAAGAGAGATTAGCGATCGAATGATGACAGAGAAGAGAAGACTTACGACCGAGGGGTCATCCGACAACTCGGTGACCTCGTCATCGACCCTCACGCGCCCTTTCCCCTTGTCGACACCGGCAGGCGCGGGGTCAGGGAGGAGTCCTCCGGCGGCCGCGATCCGCGCCAACTCCTCGTCGGCAGCCTCTTGTGCGCGACGCTCGTCTTTGGCCTGCCTGCGACGGTCCTCTTCGTCCTTTCGACGATGTTCGTCTTCGAGGCGACGGTCCTCGGCGGCCTTCGCACGCTTTGCAGCCTCTTCGACGCGTCGTGCTTCCTCCTCGGCGAGGCGCTTCTGCTCTTCGACGCGTCGTTCGACCTCGGCGTCGATGGCGGTCGCGAGCTCGGGCCAGTCACCGCGCGCCCACTCGACCCAGGACTCCGACGCCCGCTCGGCGAGTTGCTTGACGGCGGCGGCGACGCGCAGCTCCGTCTCCTCGTCGCGGATGGCGCCCAGGGCCTTGCGATAGGAGAGCTACTCTTCGACCACATCGAGCGTGGCGTCGGCGGTCGGCGGAGCCTCGAGGACCGCGAGCAGAGAGGAGAGGCGGCGGTTGACGAGCGAAGGAGTCGACGCAGGGGTGGCAGAGCGAGAAGACATCGTGGAAGCAGAGGGTGTGCAAGGAAGGACGACGAGGTAGCAAAGAAGGAACGATGGGCTGGGGAAAATGAGGCTAAGTCTACCCTGCTTATAACCCCTTTCCGACCAGTGTTTAGCGCCGGCCACGTGGCGTTCGAAACCGACACGGGTTGTCATGCCGCTTTGATCTGTTCACGACCATCGCGCTTCTCGCATCACGTGGAGGACCGAGGGCGGTCCAAATTTCAATAGGGAGGAGATGATAGGCGCCAAGCCCCTCTGGGCCCCAATACACCTCTTTTCGGCAGTCGCATCCCACCCGGCACTTCGACTCAGTCACCCAACAGTTCGATTTTGCCTTCAACGCTCTTCGACATCTTCGACGGTGCGCGATGCTTGTTCGAAGCTCGGCACGGTCGTCCCGATGCCTCGCGCATAGATCTCGGGACATCTCCCGCATTTGGCGAACAATAGGGCCACTTGACGCCGCTCGGCCAAGCGCGCGCTTCGCTCCAAGCCACACCGAAGTAGCCGGTCTTTCCCGATTAGGTATCGAACCTCGCGGCATGCCTTCGACGACGGCTACCGGTCCGAAGTGGCCATATGTTTCTCTTCATCTCCGCGTTCGGCATGACGTCACTCTACCGATGGACTTGATGCGTGCCACTCGGTGAGGCAGCTTCGTGCGGGACAATGCAAAGCCCCTTGTACTAGTGTGCCACTCTCGATAGTCGTAGCGTCCTATGCGTAGTATAAAATCTGTCGTACTTCTCTCCAAAAATACAAGATCCGGTTCCCCCCTCGAGTTCAGAGCTCATAAGTCGAGTTCGCCCTGCGTCTAAGCCTTCAACTGCGTCACTTCGTCCCTCACTGCATAACCTCGAAACCTCGCCCACTGCATTTACTCGTCGATACCGTCTCGACGAACCCTTCAACTTCGACTATTATCGAAGAAACTGCGAACCGCGTCCTAGCTAAGTCCACCCCATCGAATCGTGTCCCTTCCCTCTACGATACATCGAAGAGCTCTGCCGAGCTTCAATCGTCTCCACTAACCACCCACAGCCTCCGAGTAGCTTCGACGACGTATCGAGCCACCTCGTACCTTCCCTAGCGTTTGTAGCCTTTTCCGAGGGTGTTTCTCGTGTTTACTCGAACCGCGGGACACCTTGCTGCTAACTCCCCTCTCACTAAGATAATAACCCGCCTCTAGTCCACCTAGGTCGTACCCAGGTTAGGGGTTAGGGTTTCGTAGATTGTATCATCGGACTCCAAGATTCCTTCTTCACTCGCACTCTCTTCAGGCTCAGGCTCTGGCGCAGGGTCTGGAGGGAGATCTCCTTGCGCTTGACTTGGACCAGCGACAGTTTGGGGAAGGCAGGAGCTGGGGGAGACAGCGCGGGAGTGTCGGGATGCAGATTGAGATGCATGGGTGCTGCGGGGACCGAGCAGATGTTGGGCCCTTCTGATCGCTTTGTAGTGTGGGTAATCTTGTTCGATCGACCAGAGTGTCCGATTGGGGCACGGCTGCTGCTTGCAGGTGAGGATGATGGTCTCAGGGCCGTCTGGGATGTAGACGTCGATGAGGTCCTGAGTGTCGAAAGCGTGAACTTGGCCTTGACAGGCAGCCACGTTGGGTGGGGGAAGGACGGGGAGGTGCGCGTACTATGAAAGGCCGTGCTAGACTAGCTTACACCTACGGCGCCCAAGGAGACACTAGGGTTCGCAGTTCACGTGGGGCCCAGTACTGCTTTTGGCTAGTATGCAGCAGGAACCTAGTCCATGCATCCGTGAGGACAAGTACCGCCCACTGAAGTGCAGGTACTGAAGAGTTTGTTCCCTTAGTGTTGGCGATGTACATATGCTATCTAGGTATCGTAGGGTACAGTAAGGGTGCGTACCACCTGTCATGACTTGGTATGGCGTCTAGCCGTTTTTTAATTTTTTTCCTTTTCGCGGGCTCGAACCCGCGACCTCTGTACTACACGCTCAAACGGACAAGTTGTTATCTACTGTACAATTAGATTAGATGGGGTGGCAGTGCACGGCACAGCTCAGGCTCCACTGACACAGCCACTCTGACTCACCAGCCCCCGGGGCCGCGTCAGCATGCTGCACATGGACCAGCTGTGCACAGACCAGTGCGCACAGCCTCCCCTAAACTTCCCCTGTATATAAGCTGGCCTCTGCTGTCCTAGGGACCTCAGTTTCGACCTCTTGTCCCTAGGTCAGTAAGCCTTCCTTTGTATCCTTTATTTACTTCACTAACTAATATATTATCTTGTCCCTAGCCTTAGGTTTGAGCATCGCTCACCATCGCTTCGGTGAGAACCAGTCGGACGCCCCCAGCTTTTAGGTTTTCCCCTGTCACTTGACCTCAAGTTGTGACAGCAGTCCTGCAACGTCTGCCGAGCGAAGTTTATATTTGCCACTGTGACCCAGGCATGATAGAATTTGCAGAACTACACAGGCGGCACTGAGATTGAGTTCAACCCGGGTTCATCCAACAGCATGCTCAACCCAGGATGGACTGGGTTTTTCCCCGAATTGGCACCACCAGGTCTTTTCTGATTCAGCCTGGCATTGGGTAAAACCTGGCACCCGGTGACCTGTGCCACACCAGGTTCAGTGGACAGGCCGAACAATGCTGCTATTCCGCGAGCACCTCATAATTCCCATAAAATAATTCAAATAAATAATATATATATTATCCTGTACTCTACAGACATTCAACAGCAGCGCAAACCAATAGCTACTAGCTACATATATACAAGTGTGGTCAGTAAGTCAGTAGGTCAGTAGGTCAGTAGGTCAGTATGTCAGTAAGTCAGTAAGTTCGGATGTCAGTAGGTTGGGACGTCAGTATTGTCAGTATATGATTAGTGCATCACTCTTGTCAGTGATATGTCAGTCTTGTCAGTCTTGTCAATATCATGTACTCACCTCCTCAAAGTGTCCCGCACCTTTGAATATCGACAACCAGTCGGCCACAGGTGCAGGGAGTTGAGGAAGAAAAACGACAACTCACGCTGGCAAATGTGCAGTCACAATGTGTTACCCAGGTCACATGACTGTGACCTCAAGGGTGTCAGTGTCTGCTGGTGTGAACTCGGATACGTACATCTCGAGGCCAATAGGCTCTGCACAGGTTCGGGTGCAACTGTGGACGGGACTGGCGGCATAGGACGAGCAACACACAGGATAACAAGAATAAGAGTGACGAGAAAATGAGGGCAGAGGAGTGAATATATACAAGGGCAGATGCAAGCCAAGGGTGGGGTGGCCCCTATCCATGGCCTGAGGGAGTTTCAGCGCCGGCCCCATGCTTGCGGGCTTTGGGTTTTCCCCGACTCCCTATGCCGAGCTGACGTCGGGATCGGGGCAGATGGGCGGGGGGCCAAGAGGACGTGGGTTAAACCCAATCCGGGGACTCCGGGTGACCCCGTGGCGTGGGAACTCAGGTTAGACTCGGGACCAAGCTCTGGCAGTGTACTGCAATGCGAGGCCTCGAATGTGGCATCTCGCTACCACTGGCTGTCCTTCGTGTATGGGCACCAGCTTCATTATGGGTACTCCTCCATGTATTTACAACAATGCCTGAGTGAAATAACAACGATCCTTGTGGTGGTTCAAGCAGAGCGAAGGGAACAATGCATGAGTTTGCAAAACCCCGTATCTGATAGTAGCGATAGAAAATTAACATCCCTGGACCATTTTTAAAACACAATATGAAAGCAATTGGTTCCAACCGACAGCAATTGATGTCTTCAAGTTTATTCTGGTCTGGTCATCATAGGCCCGCACAGATCGTTGGAAATTTGCCAAAGTCTACTAGGACTCGGCAGGAGTACAAAATATGAAGGGAGGAGTCTCATAAACGCGAATGCCAACAAGCTGAACGCGCGCAGAAGATAAGCCTCATTTATCAAGAGCTCATGTCTGTCGAAGACTTGCAGATAATAGTGAGAAAACTCCAAGCATCATACTCACCGCGTCTTTTGGGGAGACCATACGCGCGCAACACTGCTGGTCCGGTGGAGGCGCGTTTCTACACGAAACGCGTGAACGCGTCAGTCACGTGGTCGTTTCCCCTTTTTCGCGGGGCCAATCACGCAGCCACATTGGAGGTTCAGGCTCGCCTCATTCCTTCCAGCCTTTACATCCCGCCAAACCGCCAACGTGTATCTCTTTGTTATCCGTAGCCATGTCTATCAATCTCGACGCACTCGAGCCCCAAATCCGGGAGATCCTCACTGCACCAGGAATTGACCTGTCGACCATTAGCGCGAGGCGTGTCCGCAAGCAACTCCTGGAGGTGGACACGTCCTTGACTGCTGATTCCTTAAAGGAAAACAGAGAGAAGATCGACGAACTTATTGCAAACATATATGAGCAAGTGAGCGCCGAGGCGAGCCGCGGCGGCTCGGACGAGGGGGAGTCAGGCAGCAGCGGAAAGCCTAAGAGGAAGCGGGCAAAGGTCGAAGACATGGACGTTGATGATGGCGAGGAGGAGGGGGAGGAGGAAGATGACGATGAGACGCGTCCAGCCAAGGCCAAGAAAGGGCGGAAGAACAAGGCATTAACGGATGAGGAGTTGGCTCGACAATTGTCCGAGGAAATCAACAGCCGTTCTCGGAGCTCCAGAGCAACAAGTACGAGGGGAACGAGGGGAAAGGGCGGCGCGAAGCGAGGAGGCAAGCGTGGGGCGAAAAGCGCAGCTACAGTGGACTCGGACGGTGAGGGTGCTGGCGAGGAGGGCGAGGTCAAGAAGAAGCGGCGCGGCGGAGGCTTTACTAAGGAATATGTATTGAGGTCGGCTTCATGCACTATTTCTCTTCGTTCGGCCGCTGACACTATTAACCCTTGTGTCATCATAGCGAACCTCTCGCTGCCGTCATTCATCAGGAAAAGCTGTCACGACCGCAAGTCGTGAAACAGTTATGGGACTATATCAAGAGTAACAACTTGCAGAACCCTGATTACAAGAAGGAAATTCTTTGTGATGAGAAGCTCAAGGCAGTCTTTAACGTCGATAAGATCGACATGTTCAAGATGAACAAGGTTTTGGGACAGTAAGCGGCTGGTCAACGAACGCGGTTTACCTCAGATCATTCACCTTGTTCTTAGGCATCTCTCAGCACCAGAACCCGAGTCATAGTCGTTACGACTGACCCAGGATACTAGCTTTACGAACATTTGTTCCCCGCATACGACTGCATTGACGAGGTTTGTATTACAACATGACTTATTCACATGCACCGTGGCGTTCCCTTATGTCGTATATCCAATTGCATGCCACCAACTTGCGTTTTTACATCCCTCTCCGAAAGTATAAGTACATACAATTCGCCTCTCGTGTACATAATCCGGTATGCTATTTGTTAACTTACTTCGCTTAGGCACCTGCATAGGTGCAGTATAGGTTTGATGCCTGCGAAAACGCAAGGGCCTTGTGCCAGGTTACCGGCTCCGCGCAGTGAGGCTCGCGATAGCGCTACTGTAATTGAAGGCACATCTATCCGTTGAGTCCCATATCTCCAGGAGCGCAACAAACGACATTGTCGCTGACTTTGTCATGCTGGCGGGAAAGAACATGCATCCATGTCGGACGAACAAAGAAAGACCGCAAGATGCTCGCGCTCACCTGACGTTCCAACCAGGCAAGATATCGATGTGCGTGCGCGCGGACGCCCTCCGACTCGGCGCCATCTTCTGCATGCTGGTCGAGGAGTTTGCGGGCGAGGGCCGTGGCATAGTCCCGGGGCGGCGTAGCAGGTATCCCAGCCCGCAAATATAACCACAATGATTCGTGGTTGGGGTATAACTCGACGAGAGATTGCGCGTGCTCTAGCAACGAGGGATGGTCAGCGAGGCGCGATTGATATCTCGCAGTGGTCTCATCGCTGGACACGTTTAGTGGAAAGACCTCGAGGGCGACTGTGTACAAGCTGCGCATATATTGCATAGCCGTATAGTCTGAGACGTGCCGTTCTACCCATTGTTGGATAGCCGCATATTCCTCTGCGAGGAGCCGACGGTAGGAGTCGCGAGAAGGAGATGATCGTGCGAGCGAGGATAAAGCTTCGAGTACCTTGAATCGGTGCAACCAAGCAAAATAATTTCGATGGTACGTCTCGCTTGCCCTGGAAGCAATTTTGAGCTCGGATCGAAGCGCATCGGCAGGTATCTGGTAATAGAGCAGCGAGTCGTCATCGGCTAGAGGCGGAAATCTCTCGATAACCGTGAGGAATAATCGCCGGAGTAGCCACCTGCGATGATGCCATAGAATGGACTGCTTCGAGCCGTCACGAAGGGTAAGTAATGCCTCTGTCGTTCGGAGCTCATGCTCCGCATCGATCAAGTTCTCCTGCACGAGCTGCTTTCTGATACTCAACGCGGATTGATGTGCAGGATTTGCGAGTAGCAGGACAACTGATACAAGCCTCAGCTCATCCACCTCTTGCACTGTGAGCCGGTTGTCGTGGGATCGACGACGATGTCGGCGCAGCTGAGTGAAGAGACCAGCGGCCGCTATGTATGCTTTGTACAGGACCTTTTGTGGGACCCCAAGGTTTCCCTCCACCAGCAGAAATGGAGAATGGAGCCCAGGCGTGAGTTTATCGTTGTTTTGTGAATGCTGCACGAGCAGCTCGCTCCCATCTCCTGGAATAAGTTCGATGGAATGGCTATTGAAATGAACAAGTTCGCGTTATTCGAGCTCAATGAGCACTCACAGTGGCAGATGTAAAAGTGTCCCTAAGGAATTAACGATATGATCCATCGTGTGCAACTTCTAGCACCGTATGCAATTGATCTTGTCCGAATAAATAAAGTTTAGATCAAATTGAAAGTGCACAGTATACATAGGTAGGGCTAAGTCACTTTCGACCAACATCACGTGCCCGCCGTTACAAAATCGTGACAAAAGCGCAAATTATGTTTGCAAATCTAAAGGATATTATTTGAGGCAAACAATTAGGAATCTGAGAACAGGATTATTTGAGGAAAACATCGTTGCACAAAACCTTGTTTCTCGATTTGTGATCAAGTGCGAGGAGCAATTGAAGATAGATTTGCAGTGTACCAGAGGAAAGAAGCGCGCTCTATTCGGCAACGCCCTCGATAGATGGATGCAACTCTCGTGCAGCGCTCCCGAAGGATAAGTCCTTGGTCACAAGAAGTCACAAGCACGTGATGTTGGTCGAAAGTGACTTAGCTCTACTTTACCAAGGAAATGATTGCATAAAAGCCAAGAAAAAATAGAATAAAACAATAATTACAGTTTACAAAATCCATCCATTTCTATCTATCTTGATCTAATCGGTCTTCTGTATTAGGCACCAACTGATTAGGCTGATTTACTTTCGATCTCAATTCAATAGGTACATTCAAAACTGCCGCTTAAATCTCGCTGGAAAAGAAGCGACTTTTCGCTGCTATTGAGCGCCCAAATGTGGCTGAAGGTCGCTGAAACGTCGCTGAAAGCGTCACGAATGACTAAGCGTGATGCAGCCGTGATTTGATCACGTTTTCGACTCGCGAAGGGCTGACCAGCCAATCAGGTTGGCGAATCATGCAAGCGTGACATGGCCGTAAGCCAGAATCTGCGAGCGCTTGCGACGAGCAGTCGCTTATTTGTCGCTTATTCTCGAGGGGGATTCTGCTCGCTGCTTTTGGCCGTTTAAATGTCGCTTGTTTTCCAGCGAGGTTTAAGCGGCAATTTTTAATGTACCTAATCTATTGTACAAAAAGATTGGCTACTGCACAAACCGTACCATCCGTATAAGACCGCTTGAATGGGAATGACTGATACGGGGACATTAACATTATGTGTAATCGCTTCTAAATAGAGTTCGCATGTCCTAGAGCGATTCAAAGGCTCTGAAAGTTGCTTTCTTGCCCCATTAGAACAATTTTACATGGGTCAGTGAGCGTGGCCTGCACCTTGACCGATGCACCGCCACACGATGATCGTTACTTCTCGCGCCACATTTTATAGGAACCTTCACGAGCTCTTCATGATTTGATCTCGCCTTATGATCTGTTGACAGCGCGGTCTGCATCTCCTTTGTCGTCTTCGATCATCGATGCGTGAAATTGAGGTATAGCCTAAGAGTACAGGGTATTACAAGCGACATTCGAGCCGGAAATTAAGAGCACTGAGATTCCAGGAAATGTAACAAATGAAATACACAATAAACAAAACACAGCCCACTACTCCTGTTTCTCAACAGAAGGTGGATCCATAGGCTTCTTCTCTCGTGTTCGACGCTTCTTTGGCGCACTGCCGGAAGCTTCAGCCTGCTCTTCCATAGGCTCGAGCGCCCTGGCACGCTTGACACCCCGTCGGATCATCCCCTTGCCTCGTTTACTCTGCAGAGGCTGGCCTCCATCACTAGATGAATTGATGTCCTCTTCCGGCTTGTACGCTGCAGCATCGGTGCCTAGACGCTTGCTGCGTCGGGTACCAATCCGTTGCGGTGCCAGGGGCTGCACCTTCTGTTTTGCATCTTTCGTCACCACTGGCCGCTCCGGCTCAGCGGCGCTGTGTTCTTGTGGGCTAGTAGGGACCACAGCTGGGGCCTCCGATACGGTAGCCTCCTGTTCATCTTTGTCAACCGTGGGCTCCGGCTCAGGGGCAAGAGCCTCTTGCTGTTGTTCGTCTTTATCAACCGTGGGCTCCGGCTCAGGGGCAGGAGCCTCTTGCCGCTTTCTTTTGATGCGTTTCGCGAGAGGGGCCTCATCATCACTCAGGTCGCTCAGATCACTGCCTGATACCGATGCGGTCGTGGCGATGCTACCGCTATTGTCAAGGCGGCGATATGGACGCCGGGAACCGTTCGTAGACGAGGATCCTGCTCTTGGATATGCATGAGTGGACGTTGACAGCTCAAGACCAGCATCTGCCACGTCTATTCCGGAAATTGGTAGGGAGCCGATAGATTTGCGCGTCCGCCCAGACAGAGTGGGCTTACCACCTTGAGATTTGCGCTTAGGTTTCCATCGGTATTCGTCCCCTGGCTGCGGAAGATAGTAAAGCTCTTGCTCGCGAAGAAGGTCGACTCCGACCAACTGCCTCAGGATCCCGAGTAGATATGGATTGAAATCGACGCTTTCGACGTCGATGAGCCGTGTATCGGCGTCCAGCAATGCAGGGCCATGATCCTCGACTTGCTCCTCCTGCATCAGTTCCCAGTTGCCAAGCGAGCAGCCAGGCAACACGAAGTAGACGCGAGGTCCATCTTCTTCACGGGGGAGACTGATCTTGTGGAAACGACAATGGGAGCGAGTGACAGGAGAGCTCGTTATGGTTGGCGGAGACGAGGATGCTGGCTGAGAAGTGCTCGGCTGCGCGAAATCGCGTGATGATCCCTCGGCAGGGAGTGAAGGTGATGGCTCCCTTCGTCGTTCGAGTGAACGAGGAGGACCAGTACCGGGACGTCCATGATGGTGATGCATTGCACCATGCGTATGGAACATAGGAGGGGCGTGATGATGACGATTTGAGGTGCGTTTGATTGTAGGGGAAGGAGGGACGACTAGAGAGTCATTACTTGGCGCTGTCGAGGCAATGGAGGATTCACGAGAGCTCTGTTTAATGAGCAACTTAGAAGCATCACTAGCGCTTGAGCCGCTGGAGGAATTAGGAGCAGGAGACTCCGCATCGTCGTTGTCCGAACTTCGGTGGTCCTGCTGCCTCTGTTTGCCTTTGCCCGTCGGTTCAAAGGTGGTCTCAGAGGCGGGAGCAGGTTTGTTCTTCAATGCCTCCTTTGCAAGCATTGATCTAGTGAAGCGCGGAGGTAGCGCACGATCCGTACGCTTGCGTTTGTTGGATCGGGACGCACCAGTTGCTGCATTCACCCGGTCGCTCGAATCGTTCTGCCCTTGGCTCTGCCGGTCGCTTTCCTCAGCTGACCCAGCACGGTGTCCATTATTTTCGATACGGGGGTCCTCGTCATCTCTGCGACCACTGTTAGTTAATGTTACGTATACCGAATGACCGTAAACTTACTGCTTCTGTGCGTTTAACTCAGACGTCGGTTCCTCCGGGAGATCGGTACCTTCAAGAAGGTCGTCACCCGTTGCAGATGGTGCGGACACTATGGCACCATCGACGTCATCGTTGGTACCGGTCTGTTGCACATCCTGCTCGTTCGCGACTGGCGAGGACAGAGTGTCCGCCAGAGGCCCTGCATCGTCACGGTTCGCAACATACTCCGGGTCAACATCTCCCTCAGCGTCGATGTCATCGATGTGCTTCTCGAGTCGAGCCGACACACCGTTCTCTTTCCTAGCGGGAGAAGGCTGACCAGAGATCGACTCCGTATCCGATGGATAGGCAAGCTCCAGCTCATCAACCCCAACCATACTTGAATCGATAACATGCCCATTCAAACCATTCGGTGCGGTAGTAGTTGCGTCGTCAGGGAACATGGCGTCTGCCTTCACCGCTCCCGCTTGTGATAGGTCAGCGTCTTTTTCGTGAAGCTGCTGGAGAATCGGAGAAGCTTCCGAGGTCATCGAGATGTCGGATGCATTGACGACATATCTGAGACGGGACTCAGAAAGGCCCTCGTCGCCCGAGCCTACACTCTCAAGTTTCGGAGTGACGGGAGGAGAGTTCTCCGCGGTAAGCGGAGTGAACAAGCCGCTCCTAGCCCCTGACGGTACTCCAGAGGACCCTCGACTGGAGCTGACCTCAACTGGTGACTCAGAGACGACGACTACTTCCGATGCTTCCGCGGCGATTGGTGAATGCGACTCACTAGTCGGGTCGGGGATTGTTGGATCTGCGGATATTGGCATTGGAATGCCGCCCCTCAGCATGTGTCGCGCCTTAGCAGCATCGTGGGTCGAGCTAGACGCGTCTCGAGAGGCATCATCGATTGCATGACGGGCTTGATTCCAGACAACCTGACCGTAATCGTTGGATGTCAGTAATATACTGGTAGATAACCGTGGAATCATACCTCATGCAATACTTCATCTGTACGACTGGAAATCGCATCTACCTCTTCTGTGCGTTCGGCCACACTCAGATTATCTGCGTTCAAGTCATCATTGGCTTCGCGATCAGGCTCGATGACGACAGCATGGGTGATTGCAGAAAACTCGCTCCCTAGTACAATCTCGTCGGGGCTCGGCAGTCGAGACTGCAGCTCCTGTGTGAGAGTTGAGCTACTGCAATGCACAGTGGAATATTTGAACTGGACATACCTCTGTTCGTCGGCCTTCTGTGACAGGCTCCTCGACCTCATAGTCGTGCAGATCGGGATGTGCCTCGCCTGAGACTGACACAATGCTAAGCTCTCTGTCTTTGGAGGCAGTATCAACGGTCTGTCCTGCCTCCACGGTGTACTCCTTAGAAGCAATATTATCGTAGCGCTGCTCAGTCGCCTTAATGGTCCGAGAATCAGCCATATACACGAAGCCCGCCGCCTCGTCGGATGTTCTTGCCAGCTCTGACTGTTCCGTAGCAGACCCCATAAGCTGGGACACAGATTGGGTGAACATAGCCAGAGTAGCGTTGGACTCTTCTGAGTCATGGGGAGGCACGAGAAACTCAGCGAAGATGTTTTCGTCCGTCGCAAGGGATACAGAGGGCTCGATCAGCAGGCCGGGGAGCTCGGCGTCGACAATGGCCGAGTCGGATGTATCCAAGTTTGCGTAGAGATCGTCCACCTCAATTAAGTCAGGCAGTTCGCCTAAAATGTCGGAGACCAAATCAGGTGAGCAAATTCCATGTGCTAGACATCGGGCAGACTGACTTTCTGACACTTCGGCGGTGTCATCTTCTGCATCTTCTGCATAGAGGTGCGGGGGACTCGTGGCAACATTGTGCACAAATCCAGATACGCTGTCGTCAGCGAGGGAATGCACCGTGGGGTCCCTCATCGCATCTGCTGGCTCGTCGGGCTCGACGTCCTCATCATCGTCACTTATCTCGATGATTTCGTCAACATCGCCGTCCCCGATGTGCGGACTCTGCAAGTGTCCTGCGCGAGAGGCCATTCGCCCAGAGTTAAATGCCGGTGGCCAGTTCCAGTCGACATGATGGCTAAACTTGGGCGGAGGCGGTGACTCGGATTCATCTCGCCATATACTGGGAGACCGTGCGGACGGCCTGTTCATTTGATCTTGAGTGCCAAGGCCAGTATGCGAGAAGTCTATATTGCATTCAGATCAGAGATGTTAACTTATGTACATGGTGAACGTACCATGCTCCTCAACGTCAAGATTCTCTTCCTCCGGAAGTCTTTGTGTAGGTTCGAGGTCTGCGTACAAATCGTCGATAGAGCCGCCGGAAAGCAAGTCCTGAAGTTCCCGAGAAGCACCATCATCAGTTGCAACCACTACATCCTCAGGCTTTTCTGGAAGGTCCTGGCGTACGGACAGCCTCTCGTCTTCCCCGTCTGCGCTGGCAAACTCAGGTATAGGTACATGTATTGCCTCGGGCGTATGTGATGTCTCCGGCGTAGCACCCTCAGGAGTCAGGAACATCCCCACATCGTCACCCCCAGGTGCCAAATGCGAAGGCGGCGGCAAACGCGTGCGCAAGTCGCTCTCGCGCACGTCACTCTCGCGCACGTCACGTTCGGAGTAGTGAGTCTGGGTGATTTCCTCTGGTCCGGAAGATTGGAATGCTAGATCGAGTTCCGAGTGAACATGTTCGAAATTGGCCTCAATTGCTTGCGTATCATTCAAGACCTCCATTGGGAGAATATGGGGGTTGACGCTCGAACTTGTGGCGGGCGTAAAGTCGCCGCCGGTATATAAGTCCTCCGCATACGCAGTAGGAGCAGCCCACGGGTCTGGTAAATCGACTTTCCCGCTATGAGTCTCGACAGGCGGAAAGTCTGGAATTCGTTCGGTCAGACAACGTCGAGGCACTACCATTCAGCACTCACCTCTTTCATCTTCAGAGCCATCTTCTGCTTCCACGCTATCTGCGTCGCCGTCCGAAGCATCCGTTCCCGAGTCATAATATTCTTCTTCGTCGAGGTCCACGCCATTCCGTTGATCAACGCTATACAAAGGTGGAGGCGTGTCCTCAATTTCTTCGTCATCGGAGAGTATCTCTATGACCTCTGGGACAGGAGATGAACGGGCTTCGTCTTCATAGGCGTCTCCTTCTTCGCTGCCTTCAGAAACCTCTTCGCCACATGCGTCACTGTCGTCCCCTGAGCCGTAGATAGCGCCCCGCTCTTCGTCGCTGTACTCAGCTTCGGAGGCAGTCAAGATTTCAATTGCTTCCATTTCGTCTTCGTCAATCTCCGTGGCGCGCTGTTTGCCCTTCGCCGCACGGCGCGCCATAACCTCCGCAAAGGAGTCCTCGACGACATCCTCATCGGGATCAAGTGGCTCTGGGGTACTGCGTATTTGTGCTTGAGGTGGTTCGCGTCGGAGAGCGCGTTTCAACGCGCCTGTGATGTCGCCAATCCACTTGTCAAATTCGGGCTTAGGGAACTTGTCGTAAGGGTTATGTATTGGTGCGCGAGGTATCTTTCCGGAGTTTTGTGTCGGACGAGAAGTAGTAGGGTACCTCGAGGTCGAGAAAGGTGTCGCCATGTCGAAGCGGTATGTAATGGGAGTCGATGTGGGGTTGAGAGGAGAGAGAACACCGGCGGTGGCGGGCGGCCACAGATATTTCGATCACGAGACTGTGACCATGCTCGAGACGCGTCGGTCACGGTCACGCGTCTATTCACGGTCACCCAAATCCCAACAATGCCCGATTACCACTGCCATTTCGAAACCGAAGGAACTTTCACTGAATGATCAGGCAACTTACGCCGTGGGTCAGACGGCTTCGCGGGAACTTAATATACCATCAAGTCGCTTCAAGAAGGAACTACAGCATTCGAACTATGGAAGCAATACCTTTAGATTTTGGCGCGGGCCCCCTTGTTTGGATTGACTGTGAAATGACTGGACTCAATCCGCGCACTGACAAACTGCTAGAAATTGCCGTACGTTTTTGCGTGTTTGTTCTCTCAACAGATCCAACAATTTTGCGTGACAGGTTCAAATCACCAATGGAAATCTAGAACTTGTAGATGAAGGCATTGAATACGTCATTCATACCGAGAAACAAGTCCTAGATGGGTAAGCAAACTAGTGTTTGGCCATCTAACCCGATGCATAACAAGCGAGAATATAGTATGGATACGTGGTGTACGAACCAGCACGGAAAAGTATGTGTAATGTCTGCATATGCTCCACTCTGCTCCGCTGATTACTCAATTGACAGTCCGGGCTCACGCAAGCATGCCTTGACTCACCAAACTCGCGCGAATATGTCGCCGGCGAAGTGTTAAAATATATCAAAAAGTGGATTCCGAAGCAGAGGACAGGTGTCCTCGCTGGAAACTCTGTCCATGCGGATAGATCATTCTTAGTAGAAGAAATGCCAGAAGTCACAGACTGGCTGCATTATCGGTGAGGTTGCGTTACCCATTGTCAAATATCTTAACCACTTATCAAGTCTAATCCAGCATCGTCGGTGAGCACACCCACCGTCAGTCATGCTCCACACGCATAATAATGTATCCACCAAGATGTATCTTCCATTAAAGTACGCCTTCCCCATCTTCCTGCTCCATATTTCGCCATTGTCTATAACTCTGAATACCAGGAACTATGCCGAAGGTGGTATCCTACACTCAAATTCCCTAGTCAACAAGAATCCTCGCATCGGTATTCGCCGTAGTCGTCTCGCTGCCTGCTATCGAACTGAATCTTCTCGCAGAGCTCTGGACGATATCCGTGGATCGATCAGAGGTGAGCGCCGCAAGTTCAATCTACTAGACCTGCATCGTAACTGATTACATAAAATCACAGAACTCAAGTGGTACCGCGAAAATATCTTCGTAACTCCTGGTCAGGCACCAAAGACTTAGGCATGCTCGTTCAACATAGCGCAATGGCTGACATCCGCGCATACGCTAAAGTTGCAGTTTAGCCTTGCTGTCATTACCAATCTGCATATATCCTTCGGCTGTGATGCATCTGCAGCAGTGTTCCGTCAATTGTGTCAACGATAGACTAATGGATGCGTTTTGCAGTTAGAAATTGAGATCGGCCTTGCGAGTAGGTTATTCGAACACCGTCCAGGAGCGTGCAGCAAATGTTTACAGATGCAATGTCCATTGTGATGATGGTTAAGACCATGACGAAATCGGCAATGTACGAGTGCATGATGGATAGGTATGAAATGAGATGCAGTAAACTATTACTTTAGAAGTGTATCAGACAGCATGTACCAGTGCAGAGAAATACATGAAGAGCAGATGCGATGAGCATGAATAACGATACAAACGGTAAGTGACGGTCATGAATTCGAGAGACGATACGATTGTATTAATTGAGAACTTGCAGCTTCATCCACTCCTTGTCGTTCGCATTGAAATCCACCCCTTTGCGTCTCCACCACTCGCGCGCTGCTTCGCCACCGCCGATAGCATCCTCTAGAGCCTCCTCGATGTCGCACATCCGATACTGGATGGGGAGCCCACTCTTGTCCCACCACTCCAGTACGTCTGGACGGTTATGCCGCGTTGCGCCCGTGAGCGCGTCTGGATCGAATATTAGCTGCAGCCCGCTGTTCAGCCACCACTGCAGCACGTCTACTTTGCCATGACAGCTCGCGTGATATAGCGCCTGCCTGTCGTACTTGAAGTCTAGCGCAGATCGCGCCCACCACTCTAGCGCTTCCACATGCCCTGCCGTGCTCGCCATGTCCATGACACGTCCAATCTTCAGCGGCAGCCCACGCGCGGTGAATTGCTGTTTCCACCAATTCAACACAAGGATTTGATTTTTGGCGCTGGCAGACTCTAGTGCTGTCTCGGTGAATTCGAGTGGCAGGCCCGAAAACAACCACCAGTCGAGCGACGCTACCTGGCCATTCCGAGACGCACCGTCAATGGCTTCGGCCACGGAGCTTTGTTTGGGGGGTGGTAGGATTTCAGGGTGTTGCTCGCGGGTATGCTTCCACCATAATAGGACAGCAGTGCGTCCGTGGAGTGATGCGGTGATAGGCAGCAGGTCATTCCTGTACATACGAAGAAACATCTGCCGGTGCTGCGTGAAGAAGTACTCCAGTACGTTCACGTAGCTGAAACGAGCAGCCAGCACTGCGCCAAGCCTTGTGGGAGGGTGGGCAATGGGATCCGTCGCTCGTACGAGAGGAAGGTAGCCTGTAAGAATTGCATGGTCGGACGGTGTTGCGCGATGCCACTCCAGAGGTTCTGGGAGAGAGGTCGGCACACCGACAGCCTTGGCCAGCTCCCAGTCCCCCACATGGTCCATGATCTCAGCTAGAATCTCCACAGGCAAGTCGAGGGCCATGACTGGGCGCTGGCGTTGTTTCGGCGGGTCCAACGGTGACGGACAGAGCGATGGACTTGCCACCCCATTGACCATAAGACCGTTCATGGCAGGGTAAAGATGATACGTGTGAAGATCGTACTGAGCCAGCCTTGAAGCCAACTCGTCATCCGTCCCTATGGTTGGCAAGGACCTGACTTTGAGGAACAAAACGAGTTGATCGTGCGTGAGTCGGCGGTAAGCGTCATAGACCTGATCTATGGTATCGTCTCGAGCCTAACGGGCTTATTAGGTGCTGTATTTCCGATGAAATAACCTGGCTTACTGTCATTGTCGTGAGTACAGGTGAAGGCGAGTGGCCGCCGGACAATATTACTGGCGCCAGGTGTAATGCGCACGGCGTCGCTTAACCCCGGTGGCGTACTTTATTTGTACCTATTGTCCAACAGCTTTGGATCTTAACAATGCCAAACACATTCCACGCAGGCGACGAATTATCACAATGAATTGGGATGGCAGAACTTGGCGTCCGATCGCATCGGCCCCCCCTTGTAACAAACTTGCAAGTGCATAACTTATAGTGATCACAGTTGTATTGGATCCTCCTGGGGTGACCTATGCTCAGAGATTCATGCAGTGAGTAATATGCAGACTACATCACACCGGGAAAGCAAGAAAGGGGGTGGGGGATGAAATGAGATTAGCTTGCACAGGCCTCTGGTATATATATGCACGAGAAGCGATATGACGACATGGAGGCGAGGACGATGTGACATGACCTGGCAAGTGTGACAATAAGGTCTGGCGCGTTGAGGAGGCAGCCGACATTCCTGTCAAGTATTTCTCGCTAAATCAAAAGCTAGAAATACCGCCGCAGGAAGCACCGAATGAAAGTGCATCTATTTCATCTTCGGTGCCATCACCAGGAGTGTCAAAGTCTGACATTCCAACTCTAGAAATGGTTTAACACCTCGGACAACCACGTCAAGGTGTCGGGATTGCTCGGTGCAAATTGATGAGATGAGATTCATGCTGATACCGGATGACACCCGGCGCATTCCTCTCACGTACAGAATCGGACTAGAACTGCATAGCGCAAAGTATATGCCGTGAGTATATTAACATAATAGAAAGACGCGATAGATAGGTAAAATGTGTAGTCGTGACAATAACTCCGTCGAGAGGACCTCAAATCATAGTTACTTCCTTGCCAATCTCTTTTTCGGCCGATTGTCTTCACCATCATCGTCGTCGTCACTGACCTCCTTTGCTCGCTTGCGAGCAATAGCCTTCTTGCTCGCAGGCGCTTTCTTTGCTGCGACTTGCTGCTTCCGCTTTTCCTCCTCTTCGTCGCTTTCTGCATCGTCTTCTGATGCGAAAGCATCTTCGCTCCGCTTCTTCTTCAGCGTAGGCTTGGGTTTTCGAGGGGCCTGTTTTTGGACCTTGGCCTTCGCGATGTCTTTATCATCATCGTCAGAGGACTCGAACGGATCGTCTTCCACTTTCTTTTTGAGCTTCGGCTTGGGTTTGGCATCCTGGCTCCTCTTCTCCACAGGGGCCGTCTCTGTGGCCGCAGCCTTGCTAGCATTCAAGTTTGCGAAGAACTCTTCCTTCAGTTTCTACACAAGGATGATGCTTAACTATATCACGATCGTTCGATGAGAGCACAAGGCACACCTTAATTTCTGCCTCTGGCAGCAGCGCTGTATTTTTCCAAACCTAGTCGTTTGCTTCACGGTCATGGTCACTGTATCAAGCTGTGGTTCGCCTTACCGTGGATGGGATGCCGCTTGCATGCTTGCTGTCAAGGCCTTGAAAGACGTGTCAGCATGTGGTTAATTTCTAACACGTAATGTACTTGCCTATCGCGGTGTAAAGGTCCGATTTCACACCCATGAGATTCATACCGTGTTTTTCCAATAGAATTCTCATAATCTTTGCGGGGAATTAAGCTCCGCCGAAGATGGAGGCGAGATAGTCACACGTACTTCGGTGACATCTGTCTTGTTGTAGACATCGGGGACGTACAGACACAGAACATGCGAGTGATTAGGCGTCTCATTTCGAGGACAAGTCGCAACCTTGGCCGAGTAGACGCTTGTCGAGGCTAACGGGCCCGAGATGAGGGACGCTACAACACGATGGCACGTCAGAGCACATAAGGAAGCAAATACCATTGGGATAATCACTGGCAATGGTGGTCCACACGAGATCCACCTTGTCCGTAGGAGCAAATATGAGCCTGTGAAACGTGTGTGAGATTGCCGGCACGGAACCTCGAATGATAATGATAAGGTACCATTTCCCTACGACGAATCCATGTCTGATGGAAATGTCCTTGAGCTTCTCCGTGGCTTCGCCTTGAACCTGCGTACATGAGTAATTGCCCGAACCATCGCAAGCCGTACTCACTGCTTCGCGCACTTCCTTTTTGCTCTTTGTGCCTTTCTTCTTGTTAGCGCGTACAGGAATTGACTCGTCGTTCTACAATGAGAGCGGGTTTGAGTGCCCGTCTCATGACAACACCCTTAGGAGTCACCTTGATGTCCTCGACGCGTTCAGTCACATCCTTCACTGCTCAAGCGGTAAGCACAAACAGAGAATAATAGGCTGTTAGACCTACAAAGTTTTGTGGCTTCCTCTACAGCGACTTCCCTTTTGGAATCTTCCATTGCCGGCGCAGACTTGTTCACCCACAGCCACTGTGAACGCGGCGGTATTAGCGGTTGGGGTTACGTCTTCCATCAAGCTGCGTCTCACGGGTTTGGTTCCATCATCCTGAACCATCGATGGCTTGTACTGGAGTGAGAATATTAGCTTGTTGTGGGAGCGTCATGATGGTGGGAGACGCGCTTTTGTGAGAAATGCATCAAGGGAAAGCTCGGAATCTAGTGACCATGCGTATGGATAATCAAGAGAGACATAGTCATCATTCAAGGTCATAAAGAACTCGATTGTGCAATGTTGTCAATCAATGAAAGTGAAAGTGTGAATCTGGATCAAGAACGTGGGTGGCAGTGGAGACAATACCCTCATATAACGCGTCGGTGGCACGCGTTGTTTGGTTCTGTTTACTTTGTGGACGCTCGCCTCTGCATGCATTGCGGACGTAGAAACAACAACCAATGTATCGCTTTGAAGGAGCTAAGAAAGTCCCGGACAAGAGTAATGTACGACAGGCTAGTAGATGCAGCCATGAGAAAGCGCAGACCATCCATACACACTCACTTACAGAGGCGCAGCGGCACCTTGATATTCTCATGCTCTCTCCAAGCGCACCTGAATGGAGTTGCGAGATGTACGTCTCACGCAGTCCTAATAACGACGATCACGACTGGCGATTGGGTACATGCGATGGCTCCGGTTGTGGGAGCATGTACAGAAGGAAGAGCACCCACGAACGTCACAGCTCTGGAAATTAATGTATGCAACACGCACGGGCAGCTGCGCAAAGCAGATCAGTGTGGGACATGTGACCGTTTTCATCAAGCAACGTAGCTTCCGGACTCAGAGGCACCGAGGTGTGCAGCTTCTCCCGCGCGACAGTCCCAGCAGAATTCCGGTTACCAAGGTCTGCGTGTAGACTGCAATCAAACGCCGATATGCACGGCTCTCGTGCATGAGAGAATTGTGGGGCGCATGTTTTCGATGGAGAGACGTACACAATTAACTCCACATGGACAAAGTGATATGGCTACAATAGAACGCAAAGAGACGACATACACGGCACTAGACGGATCATGCTGGGGCGCCCTGGTCAGGCAATCTCTCGATCGCATACCGCCGGCGGACAATGTACATGAGCGGCACTCCCGGTACTTGTCGAATGCGTCGACGCAGCTCGCGATCGCAAGTGGCGACGACATAGCACCGGTGGGAGGTTACCCGTTGGACGAGGCAGTCATCTGCGTATGTTCCGGTGTGCGTGCAGGATAAACGCTCAAAGCGTGGATCTCGAGCAACCCTGGTCAGAGCATCAGTGTCTTGCAACAAGAAGTAGTCGTACAAGCGCACCTTAGTGCTACACGATATCTCTGTCCAAGCTTCTCCAGTTCGGCCATAACGCAGTCCGTCACACATGGTATGCCTGTAAGTCGCATCGTGATGAGTATCACCATACGATGCACTTGTGTGCATTTCACGTACACTTGGCGTATAGGCAATCCATCATGCCACTGACGAGCTCCAGTTTGTTTTGCAGGCTGAAGTTGATGAAGTTGGTATCAATGAGAACACGGTATGGGGGAACAAGGGCATCGTTGTGTTGCAGGAAGAGCGAACTAGCAACTTGAGGTCTGTGGGACGAGGCGGTCAGAAAGCAGGAGAGTGCGCAATGCGCAATTACGTACACTCGGCGTACAAGCTTCTCCTTCGCTACTTCCTCTTTTTGCTTTTGTTTCGCCTGATTTTCTTTCCTGCACAGGTGTAAGCCTGCTTCCTTCCTAGTTAAGGCGAAACCAGACGTACAGGCGGATATCATTGGGATTCAGCATCCGTTTGACCGCAGCAAATTTGCGAGTTTTTTTGGCTTTCCCCTGATGAGTACTAAGCATTGTTACGTGTGCTGTAATGCAGTGGGTTGACATACCATGTTGTCGACTGTACGAATAGGGTGTATGAGAGGTGAGGAAGCCAATAGGAGCTTAAGCGCGCATGATCGCCGGGTAAAATGTCGTGAGATACTCGGCTCAAAGTAGTAACTGGGTTGCAATTCACGATTCCATTCCTGTACACACTACCTCCTGCGCACATCGTCGCACTACTTCTTCTTGGTATATGGCTTCTGGCTTATTAGGTTTATAGCTATGAGCTACTAGACCCCCGACTCAAAGTGTACAATATCACCGACCCAAGTCGCATCGGCGGAGCTGCAGGCCTCCGGTTATGACTCATCTCTACTTGGAACCGAAACAGCGCGCATTCTTCGTATCTCTTCCTAGCTTTCGAGATATGTGGTCTCCTGAGCGGAAATGAAAGCTGTGTCTCCCTACTGCAGGAATAGTGGACTCAGGCTTGGGAAAACCGCGAGTTCGCCGTTGCACTGCGTATCGAGAGATCCTTGTTTCAGTGAACTTCAAATTCGACTGTTGGGCAAACGCAAACGCCACAGCTATCGCGAGTCCGTTTCAGTAAACCGGTTTACCCTCTTCCAAACGCACCAGGGGTTATTCACGCAGCTTGGAGACGCCGCTGCACAGGGCTAGTGCGTCGGGGAATGCGTACGGTGCTCTACCGTCTACGACAGCTGTACCGCTATGGATCAATCACCCAACTCCATGGGTCTCGAGAAGATTTCAATGTCCATGTTTGACATTGCTGACGGGTGTGTGCCAACGTATTTCACGCAGTGAGTACGAGTGTGGACTGTAGTCTGCGCCTTCTCAGATTCACCGCGTATCTAAAGCTGTTCAGGGCTATTGTAACGCACTTGCGAAAGTGACTATTGGCGTTTTGCAGCACTTGCCCGTCTCATGATGCATAGATATGGAAGTGCCTTATTGCGTCCATCGTTTCAATCCTACAATATCGTATTGTACGTCTCAATCATAGCTGAGGTGGCCGTGGAGCTTTTCCTACGGTGTCCGGGCAATACCTCTTCGGCAGGCCCTCTCGCAATCACTGTCGGCGAGCTCGCTATATCGTACGTATGTTAGATCGTTTCACATACATATGACCATCTCCGTCCCCTGGGAACACATTCAGCCAACCGCCAGCGACATCATGCCCTCTCGGCAGACAATTACAATTCAGCGGACATCTACCGCACCCCTGGAAAGTTTGCGCTGGACCGACCTTAGCGTGTGTGCATAATCTAGCCCGACTTCGTCCGGTGCGTAGCGGACAGCCGGGCTTCGCGATCTACAGTACCGTACGCAGCACCCTTCGAAGCATCCGGCCGGATCTTGGTGCACGCGGGAGATGCGATAGAACGCTGCCGGATATCCCTGAGGAAAACGGCCTGTGACCATCGCGCCGTCCAGTAAGATTAGGTTTTCGCTATTGGCTGACCTCATGTGAGAAGGTATATCCATGTCTCCTGCACGGCGCGATGGATCATGCTCAGCGTGGTACACAGGTCAGGTCATGATGCGGTGGCGCCGTCGTTGTATTCATCGCACGAGGGGCCAGAACGGTATGCAGACCGCCCGTGCCCCTAGTACAAGGCGGACACGATTGGTCACGGTCTCATTAAACACGTTGACACGATGCCTGGGAATGTAAGAGGTCCAAGGGGGATCAACGTTCTCATAGAAGTCGAGTGCAGCATCGAGATCAGAATCACACTTGATAATCTACTGGGTCAGAGATAGGACGTCACTACGAACCTGTCCCATGTCACACAGGATTCTTGGGCTGTCCTATGGCGGCACTGGGAGCACCGATCACACACAAACGTCCTGTTCTCGTACTCCTGAGAGATCTAAGAGCACTGCAGGTGTATACAATTACCAGAAGCGACCTTACAAGTCCACGGGCGCGAGACACAAGACGTAATCGAGTGTACCCCTCCATTATCCCGCCGTGATCATAAAACGAGGGCGGCAACAACTCGGCTCCTATACACAAGGACTAGAGGGGCCGTCGCGGTTTGGCAAGTTGCTCCGATCAGGAGCATAGCAATTGCTGGACTTGCAGATTCATGACTCAACTGTTACTATAACATGCCCAGCCACAGATAGATCGCAGTTTGGGGGGGGGGGAGGGAGATCTTCGCGTGGACAGCAGTATGATGCAAGTATAACGCCACCTCCTCGACAGGCGTTACATGCCGCCCGCATTGTTGCGCCGCCCAGTTGCCACAAGGATCAGTATGAGCACTGCCATTATACGTGGCAGAAGTCGCATCGAACAGGCATCTACGATAGCGCGAGAGTTCTCTCAGGGGCCAGCTGGCGAACTCCGGGAAGCGCTGTCGTCACCGTGCGGAGATTCCTCCGCTAAGATATCGAGCCCAAGCCTAGATTGCAGAAGGAGGTTAGGACGCAGTGACACGCGCCACAAATGGGGCAACCCGTCTGGTTGGTTCCTCGGCCGGATCTAGCAGGACGGGGCCTGCACGGGAGCGCGGCTATGCGATCATAACAGCCTGCCAGAGTGACAGGTTTCTTGGGACGAGGTCAATGGCATATCGTAACACGTCCGTTACTGTCCCTCATCGTATAAAGTCTGCAGTCTCGCTCATACCTTCTCCTTCTCCACAGACACCCCTGACCCGCATTTGATCACAACCCCTGACTCCTTCGCCCACCCACGTATTACTATGCCCATCCCCACCAACGGCCATTCCCACTCTTCTTCTTACTCGAAGCTTCACAGTAATGGGGCGGCAGCGAACGGCCATCCGAAAACGTCGAGCCTATTGAGCCAATTCATAGAGGCCTCCAGGCAGCTCGAAGCATACAAGTCTGTGCACTACGACCCTTTCATGTAGTGCTGTGGCTGACTCAGGGTCTACGGACAGGAATGGGACACCAGTGCTCGTAGATGGCAAGACGCTCTCTATACCTGCTGTCACGGCGGCTGCGAGGTATCAAGCGAGCGTGACGCTGGACGAAGCGCCCGCAATCAAAGATCAAGTTGCACGAAGCCGGGCGGTCATCGTCGACAAAGTCAGCTCAGAAACCAGTGTATATGGCGTCAGCACTGGTTTCGGCGGCAGTGGTATGTCAATCCACGCTTGGTACGAATCATAACTCACGGCTCTTATCATAGCTGATACACGCACGAATGACCCCATCATGCTGGGCCATGCACTGCTTCAGCACCAGCACACCGGTGTACTGCCGTCCGCGATGGACGTTGCACCTGGTGCGCTGCCTCTCCTAGACCCTTTGGCGTCGACAAGCATGCCGGAGTCATGGGTTCGAGGTGCAATCCTGATCCGGATGAATTCTCTGATCCGCGGTCACTCGGGCGTCCGGTGGGAATTGATCGAGAAGATGGGTGCTCTGCTTCGTGAAAACGTCACGCCATTAGTGCCTCTGCGAGGCAGTATCTCAGCATCTGGCGGTGAGTGTTTGTTCGATAGATACGGTTACACGGCGAAGCGGTCAGAATTAGCTGTTGCGCGTCATCGCAACGCGAATGAAATCGTCTCCATCAGTATAAACGGGCGCTGACTACAATTTTGAATCGCAGATCTCTCACCTCTGTCGTACATCGCGGGTACATTGACGGGCAACCCCTCTATCCGTGCCTTCGTTGGACCCTCGAAGTTTGGGCCTCGACAGATCGTTCCATCTAACCAGGCGCTTTCTGCTCATGGCATTGAGCCAATCCCTCTTGCGTCGAAAGAGCACCTGGGTATTTTGAACGGTACTGCGTTCTCCGCCTCGGTGGCAGCGCTTGCCCTCCACGATGCCGTCCACCTCGCGATGCTCGCACAGGTATGCACGGCTATGGGCACGGAGGCGCTCTTGGGCATGCAGGGCTCGTTCGACCCCTTCATCCACGACACGGCTCGCCCGCATCCCGGCCAGGTCGAGGCCGCGGCGACGATCCGTGGCCTGCTCTCTGGCACGCAACTCGCCGTTGCGAAGGAAGAGGAACGCAGCATCAAGGAAGATGACGGCGAGCTGCGCCAGGACCGCTACCCCCTCCGCACGTCGGCCCAGTTCCTGGGTCCGCAAATCGAGGATATCTTGTCAGCGCTCGACACTGTCACGCTTGAGTGCAACACCAGTACGTATATCATCAACAGCCGTTTCGCCGTACTGATCGACATCTCCAATTTTAGCCACGGATAACCCGCTCATCGACGCGGAGACCGGCACTGTGCACCACGGCGGCAACTTCCAGGCAATGGCCGTGACGAACGCCATGGAGAAGACGCGCCTCGCGCTTCACCATATCGGCAAGCTCTTGTTCGCGCAGTGCACCGAGATCATCAACCCCGCCATGAACCGCGGACTGCCGCCGAGCTTGGCCGCCACCGACCCCTCGCTGAACTACCACGCGAAGGGCATCGATATCCACGTTGCGGCGTACGTCGGCGAGCTCGGGTACTTGGCGAACCCCGTCTCGACCCACGTCCAGTCCGCCGAGATGCACAACCAGGCCGTGAAGTGAGTGGCACGCCGCAACGCACCCCCAACGGTGCCACGGTCTGACCGCTCCCCCGTATAGCTCCCTGGCCCTTGTCAGCGGCCGCGCGACGATCAACTCGCTGGAGGTGCTGTCGCTGCTGACCTCCAGCTACCTGTACGTGCTCTGCCAGGCGCTCGACCTCCGCGCCATGCAGCTCGAGCTGCAGGAGGGCATGAAGGCCGTCCTGGCCGAGCAGTTCGCCGCGCACTTCGGCGCGTCGCTGTCCGCGGCGGACCGCGCGCGGCTGCACCACACCGCCTGGGACGCGATGGCCCACGCGCTCGACAGCACGAGCACGATGGACGCCATCCCGCGCATGCACAAGGTCGCGTCCGCCGCGACGACGCACATCGTCGACTTCTGCATCTCCAGCGGCGCGGCTGGCGCGCTCGGCGTGCTGAGCGCGTTCCGCGACGCCGTGGCGCAGCAGAGCGCGGACCTGCTGATCGCGCTGCGCCGTGCATACCTCACGGGCGAGCGCGGTGCCGCGCCCGCGAGCGCATTGCTCGGCAAGACGCGTGCCGTGTACGAGTTTGTGCGGGTGACGCTTGGGGTGCGCATGCACGGCCTGGAGAACCTCGAGGATTTCGCGAAAGGGCCTGGCGTCACGGATGCCACGCTGGGGCAGAACATCTCTCTCATTCACGAGGTACGTACACATTCAGTATCATGAGATACAATGGAGCTCATCACCCCCTCAGGCCATCCGCGACGGGAAGATGCAAGATATTGTTATTGGTCTGTTTGCTTAGACGTCAGTTCTGCGGCGGCGGGGTTCGTGCACGTTTGTGGACATTTTTGCCATAGAATGCCTATGTTTTGCCATCTTGTCTATTTGTTTCGCCGAAATCATTGTATCATAGATAGCTGCGGGATAGTATTGTCATTGATCTTGCTTTGTAAACGGGGATAGCACTAGATTTATGCATGATGTGGTGGATCAAGCTTATTGGCAAGCTGCCGGAACTTCTAGTTCATGATCGAGCTTGCACGGGAGATTTGATGTGATTAGATCATCATCGTATGTACCCCGAAGGTGACCACCACGACCCCGTCTCCGTTGTCGCACGTTCCGCCCGCGTTCATTGTCCTCCTGGCAAATTATGTAAAACGAGTCAATGTCATCTTTGAATTACATTGTCGGATGCAAGCACACGAACGGCACAGTCATCTGATACATCATCTGTTGGAACTTGAGATTGTGGCGAGCGCATGCCACCGTATTTGGCATTGTTTGTAGTACCTCGCAGACTTTGCGCGAGCCGTCCTGTAAGTTCCTTACGCGTTTGACAGAGCTCAGACAAACGCGATATATCTTTGTTGATCGTTCTCGCTGCGGGTCTCGGACGAACTTAAACATCATCAGGTTCGCGCTGAGCTCGGGTTTCTCTCAGACCGCGGCAGTGGCATGAGTCACTTACTTGCATGACCCAATAGGCGCAACGTCATTGGCCACGAAGGCCTCGGGGAGCGCCCACTCCCTTCAAATTCAAGGCGTCCACTTGACTTCCTCTCGAACCTCGCCGTTTCGGCGTATTCAGTCCGCGTAACCGCGGCTGACAGACACGTATCCCGTATTCTGTCATTCTGATACCCTGTCATAGCGAACATCGAGGCGCTCTCACGGAGCACAGCCAGTCAACTTGAACTCCGTGTGTGCTTCCCGAATGGAATGGGCTGCGAGCAGAGAACCAGAGAACAGGGTGGTATGATGCTCACAACACCGGGCGCTCCGATTGTGATTTAGATTGAGTTGGTCATCACTGCGTGTACCCCACATTGATACACCATTCATCACCCGATCACACCTTGCCGATGTACGGCCCTACGGCGAGAGGTCATTGTGACCGTAGGAAGTTGTGGGAAGCGTCGCCTCACGCAGCATTAGTTGCCACATCCCCTGGGTGCCTTCGTGGCACAAGGTGTTAACCTGACCAGACCTGTGTGTGACCCGTGAGCCGGGATATCCAAGCCGTTGGCTTGATACCCGTGCACGATGAAGCCTGGCATCAGCCCATTGTCATTGTTATAGATCATTGGCAAGCGATGCACATCGTCTTTCATCTTTTATACCGTGCGGACTGCAGTGGAACTGGTGCGGAGACTGCGTCCTGTCTGCTTGATCCCCAAATGATTCTAATGCACTGCGTGGACTTGATTCCCCCGTCCAGCACATATCCATCGTTGATTGACTGCCACCGGGCATGGTCCACGAAAATATATAAAGGTCCCCGTTTCCATGCCTCTCTCTCCCTCACCCCCCGAGCCATGCCGGCATATGCTCCTTTCCTTCCTTTGGAGAACGCTTGTCTTCTGGGGGTGCCGGACACCGTGACCTTGACGAATCCCTGCGCGTGCGAATGGCCTTGTCGGGAAAGTATGACGCAAGGAGGAGAAGCGTGGTGAGTGTCCTGCAGCGTGCGATGCTAGGCTGACAATCATCCTTGGCAGTGAAAGTTTGACATTGGTCTCTCGAGCTCATGACCCGGGCCAGTTAAAGGTCCCTCACTCGCATCAGGCCACGATCTGGTATGTCTTTATGACAAGGGTCCCTCTCGCTTCGCGTGTGGCTACTGACTGAAGTGTCTCTCTAGCAATCGAGCTTCTACTTGCCTTGCATGCCATTTTAACCAGGGGCAACTCCCGCTTACTGACGCTGCTCTGGACGTGGCACCTTTACTTGGCGGGTCTCCTTGGTCAGGGCCGGACGAGTTTCCTCGGCAGCCCGTATTTGATGTATGGGCACCCACTCCCACTTGCACCTCCGGGGCCGTTTGCATGTGGGGTACCGCCTGCGGATTGCCTATCTCGGAGCTCAGCGCTATCGCGATTATGCGACACCTGAAGCAGTATCACCACGCTGAGCTGCACCCGTTATGTCTTCGCATTCGCAGTGTATGCCAGTGGAGGACGAGCAATGGTAGTCCGTGTGGTAATCCGCTTCTCACAAGGAATCTGGGCAAGCATATTGCCACTGTGCATCTGCGCGCCACGACCATGACTTGCCCCGGCTGCGGATGGGTGTTCACCAGGCCCGACTCCTTGAAGTGCCATCTCCGGAACGGCTGCAAGCGCGGATAAACCGGATCTGACAGGACATTAAACGAGTGCGTTAGGGGAAATTTGGAGTTCTTTATCCCAAACTTATTGAACCTCCTAGGACAGTAGAACGATCAAGATACTGCTCACATTACGACCCACTATTTGGTTTTAAAGTCATGATGCCCGGTTTATGCGATTAAGGGATGCATCTTATGCCGTTGACATTGACATGGACAGTGATATTTATTTGGTATTTATTATGACCCAGGAATGATCAAATGTAGTCAGTTGTACAAACGTTGTACTTGTATTTATTTGTTGAGAGGAGACAGACAGATTACGGGTGTTACGAATATAGAAGGGGTGCTGCCGCATTGGGAGGGCACGATCGATCGATCGCATAACAGTGTTGGAGGATCTTCGCCATGATACAGCAGCCCGTTCACTCGGTCAATCCTCCCATGGGTCAAAGATGTAGAGTGCTCTCTCCGCACTCTTTTGCTTCTAGGCAAGTCCAGACCAGGTAACGCGATAGGGCGCGTTCTAGGCAATCGCTGGAGGCATGACTCATTCCTCGCCAATAATCATGTTCCCCCTGCTTTACACAGAGCACTGTGCATACTTCTTTCGAACCTCCACAGACTCCGGTTATCCGTATCTGAACATCCCGTAGCGGACTCAGTCTATTCTCAACGCCTCGTTCCTCTCTATCATGACGATCCCTAAGTCGACCGAAGTTGTGGTCGTCGGTGCTGGATGCTTTGGTCTGTCCACGGCATACCATCTGCTGAAGCGTGGCTTTACCCATGTAACGGTCCTCGACCGTTCACCCGAGCTGCCCGCTCCCGAAGCTGCCAGCACCGATATCAACAAAAGTACACTTTCCCTTCTCTGACCCTTATGTGATCTGACAATCCGCATGCTCGTAGTTGTACGCAGCTCCTATGCGGACCCGTTCTACGCCGGCCTCGCACGGGATGCGATCGCTGCTTGGAAAGACACAGCTGAGTGGGGGGACACCTACCATGAGTGCGCACAAAGCCTCCACGCCTTCATCAACGGTCTTGACCTCCATAACGTCCACAGGTCCGGCGTCCTCGTCCTTCTCGAAGGCTCAGGCTCGTACGCCAACAAGGCCTTCGAGAACGATAAAGCGATCGGAGCGCGTACTGAGATACTCCGGGACGCGGAAGCCCTCCGCGCAGCCTTTCCACCCGGCGTGGAGGCATGTTCTTTCGAGGGCAGGTCGGGGTACATCAATCGCGATGGCGGCTGGGCACACGCCACACAAGGGGTAAAATTCGCGATGAACAAGGTGGCCGAGCTGGGAGGCAAGGTTCTTTCTGGGAAGGCTGTCGTGGAGCTCCTGAAGGAGGACGGACAGACGAAGGGCGTGCGGTGTGGGGACGGGAGCGTGTATCCCGCCGGCCTGGTGGTACTCAGCGCGGGCTCGTGGTCCGCCGCAAGTTTCCCGTCTTTAGGGCTCGGCGAGAAGTGTGTCGCAACTGGGTGCGTGGACTACTGAAGGTATCTCTCACACAACTTGAGGTGAAGACGACGTGCTACAGACAGACGGTAGGGAAAATCCAACTCACGCAGGAAGAGGCAGACATATACCGTGGAAACCCGGTCTACTTGGACCTAAACACGGGTTTCTACGTATTCCCGGTATGTCGGCTATCCCTTCCCCCTTGACCGCTCTTGCGCCGCGCTGCTCACACCCCCTCCTCTACCAGCCTAACGAGCAGAACGTCGTCAAGTGTGCGATCCACGCTGCAGGGTACACGCATGCAACGCCTGCCACAGAACACGCCCCTGTGTCCAGCCCCGTCTTTCCCCAGGCGTCCGGCACCGACATCGGCACGCTCGTCCCCCGTGCTGCTCTGCACGAGCTGGGCGACGCGCTGCGCGCCGTGTTCCCCGCGCTCGCGCGCAAGCCGTGGTGCGGCACGCGGCTCTGCTGGTGAGTAGTCAGAGTACCGCGACGCCGTACCATCATACATACGCCAACGCTGAGCGGCGCCCGCGCACAGGTACACCGACTCGCCGGACGAGGACTGGGTCATCGGGTTCCACCCCGCAGACGCGAACATCATGCTCGCGACGGCGGGGAGCGGGCACGGGTACAAGGTACGACTCCTGGTCCCACATTCCTCGCAGACCGCGCCCTAGTCCTGAATCTTGTATAGTTCCTGCCCGTTATTGGCCGTCTCGTTGCGGACGCCATCGAGGGCACGCTGCCGACGGAGTTGGTGAGGAAATTCGCGCTGGACAGGCAGAAGAACGAAGTCCCGGTGTCCCGACCGTGGTCGCAAATCAGGAATCTCGATCTGGCTGATCTAGTTGGGCCCGCTGCGATAGTATAGACATTCATGAAAATAAAAGCGTAAACCGTTTGCTAGCCAGTGACCGGTAGTGGGAAGTGTTGCCTTACTGAGATGCAGAAGCTCCTGCCGAGTACAATTGGCCAATGATCATGACACAGCGCACTCTATCCACGTAGGTGACCATCATGACAAGTTCACTGACCAAGGTCATGATCTTGGACAGATAGCTTTCTAGAACTTGCATTGTTGTGATTCGACAGAATGCTATGCTGTTACTTGCTAACATGTACTCTACAACCAAGATTAGCAGTACATTTTAAGTGTATGTACTTTTTCAGTGCGACTCCTGCACCGAGAGCGCAGCACTAGATGTCTATAGATATGTTCGATATTCATTTCTTACATAGATAACAAGATCACGCCCGCTTGCCAACGAACTCGCGCCAGGAGCGGACCTCCGAGGGCATGCGGTCTTCAGTGTATTTGCGCAGGCCACCCTCGGGTATCTTTTTGGCTAATGCCTCGACAAACAATTGAGCGCATCGGGCGTTGTTCAAGAGCGGGAGGCCAAAGTCGACAGCATTTCTGCGCAAATATTAGGACTGGGGACTGGCAGAGCACATCAACACTTACCGGCGGGCGACGTAGTCCTCATCCGTAGCGTCATTGCCTCGCGACTTGGCGAGGTTGATGACACATTCAATGTCGTACTCGTCGAAGACTTCCCGCAGCATGCGCTTGTCCTTCGTAGGGAAGAAAATCCGCTTGGCAGAAATATAGTTGATGTTGTTCAGGAAGTCCTCGACGACTGGTGAAGAGCAGTACAGCTTGAAGCCGAGATCGAAGAGGCCCTTGGCAACAGTCTTCATCTCGGGCGCGGTGACATCACCGCCGATAAGAACACCTGTATTGGGTCGAGGAACCTTGAAACCCGTCGTGCTGAGAAGCGACGCCCAGTAGGCTTCGTGGATGTCCTTCCCGAAGCTCGCGACTTCTCCCGTGCTCGCCATTTCTAGGAATATGCGATGAGAGGAGGCATACAACTTGTACCAGAATTACTCACCAACACCCAAGAAAGGATCCGCACCACCAAGTCGCGTCCACGAGAACTGCGCGACCTTCACAGCGGTGTAGTCACGCTTTTCCGTCATGGCGTCGACAGGCTGCGGTACATCCTGGCCGACGATGGCGGCCGTTGCGGCGTCAATGAAGTTGTGGCCAAGTACTTTCGAAACGAAGGGGAACGACCGCGAGGCACGCAGGTTACACTCGATGACCTTAAGTTCGGCGTCCTCTCCGGGCCCGGCGGCAGGCTTCTTGATGACCTGCATGTTGTATGGACCCGAAATCTCGAACGCAACGGCAACCTTCTCGGCAATCTCCTTGAGGCGGGACATGTCGTGCTCGGTCAACGAGAAGGGAGGCAGGACAAGCGTTGCATCTCCAGAGTGAACACCGGCATTCTCGACGTGCTCAGAGATAGCATGGAGTAGCAGCTGTCCCTTGTGGGCGACGGCGTCGACATCGATCTCTTGAGCGTTGTCGATGAACTTCGAGATGACGACAGGGTGAAGGGGCGAGACAGACGCGGCAGCGGACAAGTTGTACTCGAGCGTGGACTCCTCGTACACGACGTTCATGGCGGCACCGGAGAGCACATATGACGGGCGAATAAGGACAGGGTAGCTGGCAATGAAGTTCGTCTCGGCTCTACGTGAGTGAGAATAAAAATCACATACCCGACTTTGTTAGCAAATTCCTTGGCAGCGTTAACAGAGGACACCTCGGTCCACTCGGGCTGATCAACGCCAATGCTGTCCAGAATGGAGGAGAACTTGTGACGGTCTTCCGCGCTATCGATCTTTTCGGGATCCGTACCCAATACGTTGACCTGATTCTGCTTAAGGCGCAGAGCAATGTTCTGGGGCAATTGACCTGCGATAACGCCACCATAAGGAAACACGCAGAACACAGAATAACGATCTCGACTTACCGCCAACGCTGACGATGACACCGTTCGCCTGTTCCAGTTCGTAGATGTCCATCACACGCTCGTAGCCGAGCTCCTCGAAGTACAGACGGTCGGCCTCGTCGAAGTCGGTAGAGACGGTCTCCGGGTTGTAGTTGATCATGATCGTCCGCTTGCCCATCTCGCGCAGCTTGCGCGCACATGTCACGGCGCACCAATCGAACTCGACACTGCTGCCAATACGGTACACACCACTGCCAAGGACCATCGTGCCGTGTTCGTTGAACTCTACATCATGTTCGGATGCATTGTAGGTGGTGTACAGGTAGTTTGTGTGCGCGGGGTACTCTGCGGCGAGCGTGTCGATGCGCTTGACGAAGGGCGTGATACCGAGCGACTTGCGGTGCGCGCGTACGGTGTCCTCCTTCGACGTGACCAGATCAGCGATGTGCGAATCCGAGAAGCCCATGCGCTTGGCACGCTGCATCAGCTCGTGGTCGATCTTGTCAATCGAGCCGACTTCCTTGAGGGCGTAAACCGTCTGGACAATGTTGTCGATCTTATACAAGAACCACTGATCGAGTCGAGATCAGCTACACAAATTGCGGCCCTTCACGGACTGTCTCACACACCTTGTCGATCTTCGTCAGATCGTGGAGCTGGTCGACCGTGTACTTCTTGTTGAACATGGCGTACGCAATCGCGAACAGACGCATGTCCGTCGGCTTCGATAGCGCGCCATCGAGATCCTCCGGCTGCACATATGCCTCGAAACCCTTCCAGCGCGGGTCCACCTGTCGGATCGCCTTCTGCAGACTCTCCTCGAATGTACGACCGATTGCCATGACCTCGCCGACAGACTTCATGGCGGAGCCAACCTCACGGTTAACCTGCGACGAGAATTTGGCCAAGTCCCACTTGGGAATCTTCGTCACGATGTAGTCCAGAGAGGGTTCGAAGCAGGCTGTAGTCGTCTTCGTAACCGCGTTCGGCAGCTCCGGGAGCGTATGTCCTAAGGCGATCTTCGCAGCCGTGTACGCGAGTGGGTAACCTGTTGCCTTCGATGCCAGAGCACTAATCAAGTCTCGTCAGCAGAGAAAAGGATGGCGGGAGCGATGCATACCTTGACCGACTCAACCGTGCATTGACCTCGATGACACAGTATTCCCGGGACGTCGGGTTCAGCGCATACTGGATATTGCATTCGCCGATAACACCAAGATGCCGAATGACCTTAAGAGCCGCCGATCGCAACATGTGGTACTCGTCATCGGGAAGGGTCTGTGATGGCGCGACCACAATCGAATCACCAGTGTGCGTACCGAGTGGGTCGAAGTTCTCCATGTTGCAGCAAATGATAGTGTTCTGGGGGGAAGAACGTCAGTATTCGCATGCTCGAAGGCGCATTACCGTGAATACTCACATCAGCAGCGTCACGGACAACCTCGTACTCAAGTTCCTTCCAGCCCTTCATGCTCCGCTCGATGAGAACCTGAGGACTCAGACTGAGACTCTTAGCCGACAGATCCCGCAATTCGTCCGAGTTGTTCGCAAAACCAGATCCAAGACCACCGAGAGTAAACGCGGACCGTAGAATGACAGGATACCCAATGCGCTCAGCCGCAGCCAAGGCATCATTGACCGAAGAAACCGCCGTGGACTGCGCGACCGGAATATCAATCTCTGCAGCGAAGTATCTGTTAGCATAAGCATCCTACAATGCAGAGATACCAAGAATTGAAGCAAAATAAACCAACATGACTTTGGAGTAGTAACACAGGCACGTATATGCGCCCGCAACCGTGTCCAGGTCGTCACGGGTCCTTGCACGAGTATGGCGGCTCCACCAGAAACTCAAATATTAGGTTTCAAAGATCCATGTGATGAAGAACTGAAGCCAATAGCATGAAGGCAGTTCGCACCCATAATCTTCCAGACCTACATACACACGGCGCGCCAGTCTCTGCCGCATTGCACCATGCGATAGAGGCCGTCAACCTCACCAATATATAACACTTAGACACAAAAGGGGAATCTCGCCAGACGCACCTTTAAGAGCCTGCACGAATAGATCACGGTCCTCCGAGACCTCCAGCGTCCGAATGGGAGTACCGAGCACCTGCACGCCAAGCCGTTCGAGGACACCCATACGATCGAGTTCAATGCCGACATTAAGCGCGCTCTGTCCACCAAAGGTCAAGAGGATGCCGTCCGGCCGTTCCTTTTCCAATACATATGCGACATAGTCCGGTGTGATGGGCAAGAAGTAGACCTCCGAAGCGAGCTGATGCGACGTCTGCCACGTAGCGATGTTCGGGTTGATGAGGATGGCATCGACGCCCTCCTCGCGAAGAGCCTTCAACGCCTGCGAACCGGAGTAGTCGAATTCGCCCGCTTGACCAATGCTGAGACCACCGCTGCCGACTATGAGCACCTTGCGCACATCCGGTCGCGGAATTTTTGGGAGCACCTTCGCCGAGATTTTACGTGCGAGCTCGGATGGCGAGTTTAGGACGTGCTCGCCATCTTGCGGGCTGTACGAGCCCACGGCAGCGCGAGCGACCGCTTGCACTGGCCTAGTCGGAACGGCTGCACGCGGACGAGTAGCGTGATATTGTCGCGTCAGACGCGTCAGTCGGCCGGTCTTGAGAATATTCCAGCCTTGCTGGAGTCGTAGAGGCCCCATCCTCGCCGAGAGGAGCGTTCCAGGAAAGACTGTGCCTGCAGACGTCGAGGTATGACTCCAGCCGACTCAAAAGTGCACGGTGGGGCCAGATGAATCGGAGATCAAATATTACAAACTCAGAAACACTTTGATCATTGTTTGTAGATCAATTTGATACCTCCGAAGAGCCTTGATCAGCGTTAGCAAGGCCATCTAACACCTAGTGCGCACACTTGTGTTCTCGAGTCCGTGGCTTTCATATAGTGTAAGAAGACCGGGAGAGGTAGAGGCGTTTGGAGTCAGCGCGAGCAGCCTTGAGCGATCAGGAATATGTACGCTCGCGTCCCCAGCGTCAAACTTTGTAATGATGCTTAGTTTCAGATCCCTCTGCCGAGCCGAGAAGAGGAAATAGAAGCCAAAGGTTTGCCCGAGTGACCCATTTACATATGCCTCGAGGAGCATGATATACGACATCGGTCAACGCTGGATCACTGACACAGCATGAGAGGCTGTACCTCGACCTAGTAGGTATATTGTTATATCACTTTCAGTAAAGAGTTCTGGCGACAGCGAGCAATGCATCAGGCTCGTCGAGGGCCTCATGTACCATACTCTCTCTATCACCTCGAGCGTCCTCTCGCCAGGTCGTGACTCTAGGGATGGATCACGAGCACCAACGGTGAGTGCCAGTGGATCACAGCACGAGTGGCATTTTGGGTGCCTTTGTAATCGTCTCTCAGTACCATCAAGTTCTACGACACTGCTGGTGTGGCGCTGTTATAAGCATGATGCATGAAGAATGGTGGTCTTCTCACTTACGACAATATAGAATAGGTAAATTACGACGGTCCCCAATCGGCATTGCTGAGGTGTGTTTTGGTGGTGGTTCTCGTGGGGTGGCTCATCTACACAGGGTCCATTGGACACTTCAACTAAACCAGAGCTTACTTCGCTGCACGCCAATGAGTATCGCATTGCAAGTGTAGGAAGGGGGTAAAGCAGCAAAACAAGGGGAATACAAGAGCTTGCTTATCCTTATGGCGGAGCCCACGAAGTCAAAGAAAGAGCTCTTTCCTCGTCCTCCTCGGTCTCGGTGGAGACGTGTCGTCCGGCAAGATCGCCCGCAAAGGAGCGTCGTTCGTTTGTGGACGACGCTCCGGCATGGCGGCCTCTTCTGTTTGTGGTGGCGGGATCTCCCTGCGAAAGAGCGATCAGACCCAGCTGCGCGCGATAAAGATAGAAGAAAGACGCACACTTCCTCGTCTCTGGTAGGTGCCGCCCGTTTCTTTCCTTTTGGTGTTCGACTCGCGACGGGTGGTCTACGCGAGCCGCGTTGGTCGGACAGTTCTGCGGTGATGTTTTAGTCCAATTTCCTCGGTGGCACAATCAAAGTGATTCCTACTCGCTCGAACCCTTCTACCAGCGTCGGTCTCTTCTGCATCGTCTACCTCCTCTATTCTTTTCCTCTTCTGGTTGATACGGGCAGATCTGCGAACTGCCGGTTCTTTGGCCTCAAGCCTATGTCCCCGTATTCAGCACCCTCCGTTCAGACACTCGTCTTAAGGAAGGACACGCACGGAGGTACGCCTTTTGGGAGCTTCTTCAGCAGTTGTTCTATCATGTATTCCTTCTTGCCAATTGCTTTGATGCCCTCACGCTGCAAAAGACGACTCAGTCGTCGTCAACAGCGAGCTTGGCTCTGCTGTGATGGCGCCACTTACCGTGGCGAGCTTTTGAATTTGAGGGCGGGTGAGTTTGCGTAGTGCGTTGGTGTTCATGATGATTGAATATAGTACATTATTGAGTGACGGATGTCGATAAACGAGATGCGCAGCGGGATGTGAGTGGTTGGAATGTAAGATGAATGAAGACAGCGCGCCGCAGCGGGCCTTTTATACCCCCGTGCCACAGCCGGCCACACATTGTGTAAGCGCCCTTTGTTGTCTTCGTCACAAAGCAAGGTACTAACGATAATACAGCGTTGTGTTCAATAACGTTGTTTCTAAAGCGGGCGAAACGAGCTCGTGCCGCGCGCACGCAAGAATAAAAAAGTGATCAGAAGTCTGCCTCTGTCGTCAATGGCTATTCTGCTTTTCAAAAATCATAAGATTATTTTCGAAGTCATGATCGCGAGTAGGCCCCGTATTCTGTGGTTCTGCAAGGTCTACTCAACAACTACGACGGTGAACAGTCGATTTGAGGGGCTGTGACTGCTAGGGCGCGGTTGATTGTTCACACTTGATGCAGCACACTTTTAAGAGACTTGATAAAATATTTAATCATTGTACAGCAAGATCGAAGTACAGACGATCGTAGACGTGGCTCCAGCTAGGTAACTAAAAGAAAAAGGGGGTCAACCACGCCGAATTTCGAGACTTCTATCCGCTATTGATCGTGCATATAAGCATACAAAATTTGCAGCATTTGCGAGCACACGGTGGCTCACCGACGTCATGTTGGCGACGACTCAAGTATGCTTGCCACCGCACTTCTTCAAGTGCCTCCGAAGAGAGTCGCCTCGGGAGAAGATGCGAGAACATCGGGCGCAGATCTTGGCAGAGGACTTCAGATGGACAGTCGCAATGTGTTTTCCGAAGTCCCTGCTAATAATCTGCTTTCCGCATAGACTGCCGTCGGCCATGCACCAACGACAGTCTCTGCGGTCCCCGGTGGCAAGGGGTAAAATTTCGGAGTGATGCTCGCGGAGATGCTGCATAATGAGACCAGGTCCGGGGGGGAGGATCGAAATATTGTGGCCGCATGTTCCGTTCCAGGAGCACATGTTGCCCTGCATTATGTTCGCTGTGGAGGCAGCCGGAAAGGACGGCGGGTCCGGGGTGAGGAAGTAAGCGGGATCAAATCTGTGTAACAGCCATGCTCAATAACACCGTTAGAGACAGATGATATGCAGTGTACCCTAGCGGCCATGTGTACGGATACTGTTCACCAGAGAAGGTGGAGATGTCGACATGCTGCCAGCGATCAGTCGGCGTCGAGCTGCTAGTTGGCGGATTTCTGAGACCGATAGATCGGAACAGCACGCAACCTACTTACCTCGAACTAACTGAGCCGTTCATCTCGGGCGATTTCAAGCAAACTTGCAGTTCAATGTGTAGTAGGAGGGAATTTGGTACGAGAAGGATTGAGCACTCATTTGCGTCTTGTGAGGCTTATTATAGTGGCCAGAGCGCCTTGGTCCAACGGTTTTATATAGCAAACATATGAGCAAACACGAGGCGACGCCTGTGGCACTGCCTAGTCATGTCGGATTCTAGTGATGCCAAGACAAGCTCATATGAGGTTTCACTCCAGGCGGCGCCACCGCGGGCAGGAATTCATTGATCGGATCCCAGATGTACTCTACACATTGCCCAGCAGGGATAGTGTCTTGATTGACACTTACATGAATTGAGTTTGACTGCCGGCAGGTTGAACGCCGGTCGAACGGCTTTGCACCCCATCCTAAAATGGACGGTTCCAGTCTCGCGCTTAAAGCTTGAACGCCGGTCAATTTCGCTCAACCCCCGCGTCAAAGCACATTTACTCTTATCTGATGCAAGCGCGCTGGACGGACTGTCATCTCCATGAATAGTACCGTCCTATAGTCCTCCGCACCATTGTATCAGCCTGATGTGCGCATCGTCAGGCAGGGTGTAGAGGAGCGGCGGTGAACAGAGATACATACCATATTGAAACAATGCGGATAGGCCTGTCGACATATATGGCCCTGTTATCATGGCCCCATCTGCAACGTCATGCACTTCAGTGGCCGGCCTGAAATTAGCGAACAGATGTACTTACATTAAAGAAATTATGACCTTTATTTGATCAACGCCATAAGCTTCTAAGAGAAAACGATACAAAAATAACAAACAACTCATCAGACTCTCCAGATGGTTTACAAGGATCTTCTGGTCCAGTAGATTACCTTCCTTTCCACAGGACGTTGTATGCTGGCCAATCAAAAGGGTGCCTTATCTCATGCTCGTGCGATGTCCGGATTCGAGGACAATATCGGTTCTCTACGTTCGGCTGGGCAGAGATACTGGCCGAGGCGCTCGAGGATCGTGAGCAGGGGAGACCATACTCGCGGGCCAATGCTCGCTGACCCACAAGGTGGGGCGTGTACCAAGGTCCCGGATTTCACCCCCTCATAGAGCTCCCGTCTTCGCGGACTTCACAGAGCGGTGCGACGTGGAGGCGCGCGCTGAGAACCTTCTCGTTCTGTGGGGAGAGTGTGGCGTTGGTATTAGTGCCGCGGCCGCTTCCTAGAGCCGCGGGGTGATCCATGCGGTGCCCGTCCTGGTACCACCCTCCCTGGGCACCTTGCTGTCGGGCAACCGACGCGACTCGCCGCACAAGCTCACCCGATTTGCCGCAAGGAACGGACAACGCGGTGTGCGCACTGGCCACACCTCGTACGGAACTGCATATTGACGAACCATCTCTGGTTGGGATGGGCATGACAGACGGAGAGGCACCGGTGGAAAAGCGACAGACACAGCGATAGGTGTGCCCGGGTCACCGACAACAGAAGCCTGTATAGTCTGTATCGTGCCCACGATCTAACAATTTTTCTGGGATGAGGACACCCCAGGTTCTGGTGGCTCACGCGCGCCTGGCTCAGAATGATATATAATTACACGGAGCCCAGCGCGCATCAAACAGAGGGCAATTGGCGAGCACGCACACCCATTATGAAGTTGATCTTACTATTACGAGAAGTGCTTCAGCAGATCAGTATCATAAATTTGCCTGAGTCGAGCGACTTGTTGCACACTCAGGCCGCGCTGACCCTACGACGGTGGCGCGGCGAACCCGCCGGGGCGCCCAACCATGTTCCATGTGATGCGTGCTGGAAACGGGAATTTGAACCGCGTTCCATTGCCAACCCTCACGAATGTAGTGAAATACCATTCCCCGCCTTGGCCCAGCCCAACACATCCCCTTTCGTGGCGACTGTGACAGATCTGATCTTAAGGTTCAGCCACCTGTACAGTCTGCACACTCACACATCTTTCGCTTGTACGCCCACCTCACCAAACGCTCCCCTAGGAGATCGCGTCCTCAGAAGCGCGTCACCGCCTTTTTATCAGCCGTCCGGCCCGCCCTAGGCAGCTTTGCTCGTACTTTGCTATATCGTTTCCGTAAAATAAAATAAAAACTGCCTCATTGTTGTCTGCTGTGTTATCTCATACATGGATGCTGTATCCTATAATCCATCTTCACCCGGTTTGGTTGTTTTGTCGTTAAGCAGTTACGCACGGCGATCTGCGCGTGAGTGGACCGCGTAGCAGTTTCTCGCCCAACCGGCGGCTTGTCTGCTCCGCGTCCAACCCCGGCTAACTAGGTCAATCTGGGAGCGTTCCTCGCCGACAAGTCTGTTCATCTGACTGCTGAATTCCTGCGGGACATTTTGGCTGATAGTGCGGTCTCCTAGAAAGAACGGCAGGAACGCGTGGTGTTAGCGAACATCGCGAGCTCAGTCGAAGTCCGCATGGAGGACCTGGACTGGGATACGTGGTAATTGACGGTCAATGCTGAGATTTACCGCTTTAAGCTGTTAAACGTTAATTAGCAAATAGACGCCTTTAGGTTAATTTGCCATCAATTGCACTTGTTAATCTGGCCCCATACTACACTGACTGCTAATTTACGGTAAATTAGGAAGCGATTCCAGATTCACCGCGCCCTACAGCTAACGCCAGGGTTTCCCCCATCCCCTCCAGCTCACGCCGCACCTTTGCTGTCACCATGAGGCCAGAACATGATGAAACATCGACATCGCCATTAGGATGAAGTCCTCTATAGCTCCAACAACGGCGGGGAGGAGCCTAGTGGCTACCGGTTTGTCACAGTCCCGGATTACGACACTCGCCATGTCCGAGTCAGGTCAACAGCATATTGGCAGAAACGTGCCTGGGCCGTTAACATCGAGCCAACCCATCCAAATTGGTGTAATAAGTTAAAACAGATATCTATCAACAGTATACAGGTTGGCTTTGGAGCCACTCGAGCTGTCCTTCTGACCTTAGACCATGTTGCAATGACAGACTCGTAGGAAGGTTGTCGGCAATATGTCGGTCGAGTCCTGCTACCAAGAAATACTTGGATCCAATGCCGACAGTCGATGAAGGTCGTGAGCAACTTGACAATGACACTGTTATAGGGGCTGGACTATCTCTCGATGCATCGTTATCGATATGCTAGCGACGCTCGAAGGAATTGTCCACCTTGCTGTCTCCGCCCATGCCCTACCGCATTCTGGTCGGGTCCTACGCGAATGAGATCTACACGGTCTCCTTTGACCCCGACACCTCGAGCATCTCGCTCGTTTCGTCAATAACAGTCGGGTATCATCCATCATGGATCACACCTCATCCGACTGACAAATCGCTCGTATTCGCGGGTCTCGAGCAAGCGGAGGGAAAGGTCGTAGCTGTGCGGTACGACGAAGGGGGGAAGGGCAGTCTGGTCGGCGAAGTCTCTAGTGGTGGCGCGGACCCATGCACCTTGCTCGCAGTAGGCACCGAACTGCTCATAGGGAATGTAAGTTCGTAGCTATAATTTACGTCACTCTGTTTCAACCCTCGCTTCAGTACTCCTCCGGGACGTTCACAACCATCCCCTTGACGCCAGAGCCGCCGCACCTGCAGGTGTCACAGAGCTCGACGCTCAAGTTCACGGGCACGGGCCCGAACAAGGAGCGCCAGGAGGCGTCGCACCTGCACCAGGTCTTCCTGCACCCCACTCGCGCGGAGCTGCTCATCCCTGATCTTGGTGCGGACGTGACGCGTCGCTTCGTCAAGGACGCTAGCGGCGTGTGGGTTCCGAGCGGCGTTGTCGCCTACAAGGCTGGAGGAGGGCCGCGGCATGTTGTGGTACTTAGTACGTCCCCGCCGTCCCGTGTTTATCCCGATCGTTCTCAGGCGCACGCACAGATGATATTCTCTATACTGTCCTCGAGCTCACGAACGAGGTCACTGCACATCAGCTGCCACCCGCTCCCGAAGAGCCCACGCTCCTCGCGTGCGTTCCTACACTGCGTACGCCCGCCCCGCTTGAGGCAGAACCGAGCATGCTCGCAGCGGAGATCCTGGTTGCGACGTCCCCTACGCCGTACCTGTACGTGTCCAATCGCAACGACCCGTCGCCCGAGGGAGACACGATCGCCGTGTTCTCGCTCGCGGATCCTGCGAAGCCTGAGCTGGTGAACGAGGTGCGTTCTGGGCTGCGGCATCTGCGCGGGATGTGGTTTGGCGGGGAGGACGCGTGTTGGCTGATTGCTGGCGGAGTGCTTGGGGGCGGGGTGAAAGTATTCGAGAGAGTGGATGGAGGGAAGGACTTGAAGCAGGTGGCTTCGCTGGAACTGGAAGCGCCAACTGGATTCTTATGGTTGTGAGTTGCGCTGTAATGTGTGATTCTGGAATGTAAAGTCGACCGTTGTGACTCAGTTTGAGATTGACTGTGCGCTCAACAATTTCGGGCTTGCTCCTTGGGATTATGCACTGCACTCAACGTGCAATTCGTGCTCTCGATACTGGTACTGAACTCGCAGAAACGATTGCTTCATGGCGGAGACCCTGAACATCAAACAAACACCTGTCGCGTGACGTTGACGCGTCGAACGCGTCTCTTGACTACTCGTGCTACTCGTGTCCCATTTCGGGCCGCAACCAGTTTGGCCATATCCATACTATTGTTCGTGCTGTTTGATGTCCTGCGCGCCGGAGAGCTAGGCGCAGAGATGCTTAGGCACTGCAAATTTGAGAAATTGGCGCATTCTGGTCGGACGGCCAGTCGTGTTTACAGAGGGCCTTGCAGGCGAGTCGCAGCAGCATTTCTGGATGAGACGACTGCGTTTCTAATCGTATGGGCTCAGGTACCTCTCAGGCGCGGCTGAGATCTCGCCAGACCTGCCGTTGTCGGGCGTCCGTGTGTTGGAGCTGGGACAGGTGATAGCGGGACCGTTCTGCGGCCAACTACTTGGGTATGTCGAGATGGCCAGGCAGACTTACCGATGCTGTGAAGATAACATCACAGGCATTTTGGCGCAGAAGTGATCAAGGTCGAACCGCCGAACGTGGGGGACCCCTTGCGCGTATGGCGGGAGCTCGATGTTGACGGTGTGAGCCCTTGGTGGAGGAGCATCGGACGTAACAAGAAAAGCATCACAATTGACTTGCGTAAAGAGGAAGGAAGACAGTGAGATTCGCACCTGCATAGTCATTACACATGAGATCGTCGCGCTAACATCGCGTCTGAAGGCTGGTCCGGAAGCTCGCCATCAAGAGCGACGTCCTACTGGAAAATTTCAAACCAGGAAGTGCGCCGTGACTACACAGGCCGTGCCAGCGAGATCCATTCTAATGGGATATGGTGATACAGCGCTGGAAAAATGGAACCTTGGTCCTGCAGACCTCCATCCTCACAACCCGTCGCTCATTTTCACTCGCGTTAGTGGGTATGGGCAGACGGGCCCCTGGGCTTCTCGACCTGGCTACGCTTCTGTCTGCGAGGCCGAGTCAGGATTTCGCTTTATCAATGGATACCCTGACCCGGAAACGGGAATGCTGTCTGGCGCGCCTGTCCGCCCCAACATCAGCCTTGGCGATTCGGTCGCAGGGCTTCATGCAGCATTTGGCACCGTGCGCAGGCCATATTTCGTTGTTCAGTCTGCATGTACTAAGCATTCTTTGTGTCTCAGGTGCTAGCTCTGCTGTCGAGGAAAGCTAAGGAAGCCAAAGGCCAGATGGGAGGGCAGACGGTCGATGTCAGCATATTCGAAAGGTACACAGTACCCGCGCATTGTATGTTTTACTAAGCTCGCGTCTTGTAGCATGCTCAATCTCATGGAGGGCATAATTCCCGAATATGATCGCAAAGGAAAGGTACTGAATGCCATTTGCAAGTACTCCAGTCGGTCTGAACAGTGCACTAGATTCGCGGACCATCCGGCTCGTCCATTACTGGGATCGTCCCGACGAACGCCTACCCCTGCAAGCCGTCCTCCACCTCGCCTTCCTCGTACATCGTCGTGGGGGCTAACGCCGACTCGATGTACGTCCGGCTGATGACCGCCATCGGGCGACCGGACCTCACCGGCCCAATGTTCGCGCACAATCAGCACCGTGTCGCGCGACAAGCGGAGATTGAGACCGCAATCGCCGCGTGGACGCGCGAGCGCACCGCGGAGGAGGTCGAGGAGGTGCTGCAGGCCGTGGGCGTGCCCACCGGCCGCGTGGCGAGCGTGAAGGAGGTTGTGGAGAACCCGCAGGTGCTCGCGAGGGGAACGGTGGAGGACGTGTGGGTCGGCAAGGAGGATGGGTGGAGCGTGAAGATGACGAGGGTCGCACCGGTGCTGGAAGGGTGTGAGAAGGGGACGAAGTGGGCGGGCCCCGAGCTCGGCCAGCATAATCGGGAAGTGCTTGTCGGCGAGCTGGGATTGTCAGATGAGGAGCTGGATGCTCTGCAACAGGCGGGCGTGGTTGGCGGTTGCCCCTAAATGATTTATGGCTTCCGTGCTCCTCTTCTACTGCAGTCTATCTGATCACCCACGACAAACTAGGCCGGACAGCAAACTTGGGCGACGGACTCATGCTTGGCGCTTTGTGCGATTTAGCGGTCGGAGTTCTATATAGCCAGTAAGTCATCGAGGAATGCCAGATTCGAAAGAGTCGGAGTCGTGAACGCGCTCAGCTTAGGAACGGAAAAGAACAAATCGAGATACCTCTGTTCGTACAACTCGCAAATGGTGTCACATTTATGACGTAGTGCATTTGAGGTTTCCTTCAGATACACGTCCGTTCAGGCCCTCTACGTGAAACCCTCCAAACTCTTGGTTTTAACGGACTTTACAACTCCTCAGAGTGCCCCTCAAAACGTGCAGTTATGAAGAGACTAAATATATTTCAGTCGAGTATGACGCTGGGCTGCATGTAAGGCTTGGCCTAACCCGTTCGCCTGGCATGAAACACGGTCAGGTGATCGCGTCGCGCGAGAGCAAGTGCCAGTACATCTTGCGACTAGATCGCTCCGAGACAATGCAAAAGACTGCACTGTTCATCAGAGGGATTTATGGAAATTACGCACGGGTTTGATTTGGGAATCCAGAAATGAAACTGTAATAAAGATAGAAATTATGTAGTCTACTGCCAAATAATTCTATGTTATGCCATCTCTTGTGCAGAAGTGGCATACGACAGATCCACATTCAAAGAACGCTCGTATCTCCGTCGCACCTCATGCAATGCCGCGGAGACTGCGGCAATGAGAAGCAACCTCGATATATCTGTCATGCTGAGGGCTTCGGTCTGGAAGATACTCTGCATGAAGGGCAGGTATATGAGACCTAACTGCACTAAGAACGATGTTGACACAGTTGTGACGAGCATGGGGTTTTGTAGTAGTCCGCATCCCAAGCCGCGGTTTTGTACAGCAGATACGAGGTCGAGGAAGACGAAGCAGGTGAACGTCTGAATTATAATGTCAGCTTCACGCATGAAGTGCACAGTCAAAAGCGCAACTGACCATTGTCTGTTCTCGTCGTGACATATTGTCGTCGGAGAGCGCGTAGAGGTAGATGTACATAGTGCCTACGACGATCACTGTCGCAGAGAACAATATGCGATATGTGAGTCGCCTGCTGATGATCGGCTCGTCCTTTTTTCTTGGTGGTCGGCGCATTACTTGGGGATCTATAGGGTCGACGCCTAACGATTGACTTGGTGGACCTGTGTCAGTTGAGCGAGTCAGAGAACGGTCTACCGGGAACAGCGCATGTATTTACCATCCATGAGAATGTTAATGAAGAGAATCTGCATCGCGTTGAGTGGATTGCTCAGCCCAAAGATCGTGCTCATCGTGATCAGCGTGAGAGCGGCGACAGCTGTACTCAATTGGAAGGATAGGAAGTTTTGGATATTATGGAAGATGGATTTTCCTATGAGTGCGGGATATATCAATCAGCATCCTTGACTCGGCAAACAAAGGCTACTACGCACCTTCCTCAACGGCAGGTAAGATTGTGTTAAAGTTGTCATCAACAAGGATGACGTCTGCAGCCTCCTTTGCGACATCGGTGCCGCTCTTCCCCATAGACACACCGATATCCGCCATCTTGAGCGCCGGTGCGTCATTAACTATCCGAGCCAACTGTGAGTGACAAGGAAAAAAGCTTTGGAAGAGCGGTGCGCACCGCCGTCACCAGTCATCGCTACGACTGCACCTCTGGCCTGGAAGGCTTCCACAATTGCCATCTTGTGCTTGGGCGTCGTTCTGGCGAATACGCTTACCGCCCCTACACTCTCCATAAGCTGGCTTTTGGTCATCCGGTCGATGGCCTGTCCCGTCAGGCAAGCACCGCGGTCTCGAGCGCCTACGCGCAAACCAAGCGCACGCGCGATGGACAGTGCTGTCTCTTCTGCATCACCAGTGATCATCACTACTTGTACTCCACCGCTGTGCAAGAGCGCGATGGCGTCCGCTACGCCCTTCCTCGGCGGGTCCAACATCGCTTGGAACCCGACGAAGACAAGGTTGCTCTTTGGTCGCTCCCTGTCGAGGCTCGAGGGCACAGGTGTTCCTGCACGAGTGCCCGGTCCGCTGCCAACCCCGTTCTGAGACTCTACGGAGCCATAACCATATGCAACAGCAATCACACGCAACCCGCGTGAGGCCGTCGACTGTGCGCGTGTCAGGATGACGGCACGGGTGTTCGCGTCGAGTGCCGGAGTCGAATCGTCGGAGACGTAGTAGAACTTGCACCGTTCCAGAATGGCGTCGATCGAGCCCTTGATGTAGTACATCTCCCGACCCGAATCCTTGCCATTCGGTACGCTCGCCGACGCGCCGTGCATACCGCTCACAGCCATATACTTGCGCTCGGAGCTGAATGCAAGTTCTGACTGCCGCGCGAACTCCTGGGTGTGCCGGAATTTGAGATTCTATCGTTGCAACAGAACAGCCATGATCGGCGCACCTGACGTGGGTCGCTAAGCCCGAAAACCGACAGCACATTGAGCAAAGCCACGTCCGTTGACTGACCGACAAACGTGCCATCTTCCTTGTGTATAGCGTTGTTGCAAAGCGCACCCACCGCCAAGGTTTTTTTGACGGCTACAGTATGCTGGTGAACAGGAGGTGCAGCCGCAGAGGGATCACAATGGACCGGCTCGTCCACGACGTAAATCTCCATTACTGTCTGTTCATTTTTCGTCAGAGTTCCTAGAGGGCATCAGCTCAATGAGCCGAAAGCTGCTACAAGGATATACAGAACGCACCTGTCTTATCAGAACAGATGACTGACACAGAACCCAGGCTCTCGACTGAGTGAAGCTTCTTGACGATCGCTTTGCGTTTCGACATTCTCAGCACACCCAACGCGAGTGTCACCGTAGTGACGATTGGCAGCCCCTCAGGTATCGCCGCAACCGCGAGGGATACTGTGCTTCATCAGCGTCAGCTCGAGTGTTTTGCCCTTGTCGGTGGCGCCGTCTGCGGGCCCACGCACCTCCGATGGTGAACATGTCTAGCCATGCGCGGTGCTGGCAAACGCCAATAACGCAGATGACACCGATGATCGCAAATGAGATCGCGGAGAGTTTCTTGGCAAGCTCGTCCATGCTGAGTTGCAGAGGCGTACGTTTCTCCTCGACCTATTGCATGCGATAGAGCATGTCAGCATACGTTGATGTTTCCGTCAAGCCACATACGTCTTGCATCATGGAAAAGATGACCCCAAACTCCGTCTGTGTTCCGGTAGCAATGACAATACCAGAGCCCCTGCCTGCGCTTCATCAGCTGGTCCCTTATAGCACGGATACAGTACTCACCATTCCGCACCAGTGTGCCCATATACGCAATGCACGTCCTGTCGGCAAGCGCAACCGGCTCACCATGCGAATGCCCATTGCCCATGCCGTTCATATTCGCGTATCCATTCGCACCTGCACTCGGCATGCCGTTCACGAAGGCACTCTCTGCGGGTCCGCGCACGGGCTGGCACGGCTCTGCATCCTTCCGGCGTGCGGTTGTTTCCCCCGTAAGGCTGCTCTCGTCTATTTCGAGGTCTACCGCGGTCAGCAGACGCACATCGGCCGGGACACGGTCGCCTGTCGCTAATGTGACGATATCGCCTGGGACGAGCTCGTTCGCAAGTAGATGTAGCGGTTGACCGTCACTAAGGGGGAAGGTGTTGAACGGCTGGACATGAGGCTGTGCGGAAGTTGTGGACATACCGGGTGATATGGCAATGGTGCGGGACGAGCTTATTTAATGCTTCTAGGCTTTTCTCAGAGCGCTGTTCTTGGACGAAGCCAACTGCGGTGTTCATTAGTACATATCGAAACCGACACACTCGGCATACCCACCGGTCAACACGATCAAGACCGCTACGGTGATACTGACTGCATCGTCAACATTCCCCATCACCGCGCTTACTGTCGCGCTTCCGCACAGCAATAAAATCAACGGGTTCTCGTAAATAGTCTTCGCGAACTTGACCAGAAGCGGCTCAGGTGCAGACACCGCAAACTCGTTGTATCCGTGCGTCTCACGTAGCCCAGAGATGCTAGCGGCAGGCAGGCCGACAGTTGGGGAGACACCAAAGTGCGCTAGTGTGTCCTAGGTGCGAACGTCGGGTTATGCTCACCCAACACGCATAGGTGAGGTTATTGGACATCGGACGTACCTCGGCCGTGTGGTGCGCATACACTTCGGACGGTGTTTGTCGTTGCTCCTCCTTCTGTGCTGAAGTCGGTAGTCGGCCATACCCCTCGTCCTTCTCCCTCCGTTCAAATGTGAACCACGCCTTGACAGTGTCTGCTGTGCGCTGCCATACGCCCGCTGCACCTCCTGCCTCCGCTGCGGACTTCAACTCACCAAAGTTTTGTATCAGGCCCGCGGAGGTGACTGGAAGCGGGAGGCCGAGCGAGTTCTCACGATGACGAACGAGGGATGTACTGTACGCAAAATGCGTCTGCGCTTCCGAAGAGGCGGGCTGAGGTTCTTCATTGTGTTCGCCAGAGAATGGAGAGAAGTATGAGGAAGCAGGCGGAGACAAAGGACGTCCAGGGTTGCTCGCTGCAACCGGACGGGCTGAGACAGCATGCCGTGAGAGGGCAGAGGCACTACTCGTGGCAGTGGGTATGTATGCAATTTCCTGCGACTGGGAGCGTTTCATGGTGTGTCGGAGGCAGTCTTAACTACATATGAAGTTGGGTGAGGAAGTAAATGAGCCTACGGAGCACTCACCAAGGTTACCACGCCTTTCGCTCGTGTGCAAGTCTAATGGCGCGTTTGTTCGAGTTGAACGTGGAATGCGGAGGTGGGCCTAGCCCTTGCAACAGAAAGCTAGCTGTGTAGAGTGTCCGTTGGGTAGAGCTCCCTCAAGTAAATGCTCAATTGCTAGTTATGCGCAAGATCCGAGTCGAAGCTAAGAAGTGTACGAAATCTGAAGATGCCAGCAGAGTTGGACCGCAAGTGTGAGGAGGCAGTGCCCATACACGGTCCCTCGGGCGTCTAGCGGAATGGACGCGGCAAGACTGCGGTGCCAAGACTAACGTCACGTGAGAACGCGATCTGAGATCCTGATTCTCTGAAGTTGACGATCTGATTCGGGCTGGTTTGCACGAAACCCGTTTGTACTTTTATCGTTCCTAACTTAATGCAGATGTCTTCGACTTTCAACAATTTTATCACCTTTTTGATAAAAATCAGGGGCAGTCGCCTTTTCCTTAGATGACCTAAAGTATATGGCAATACATCTTTGCAGAACCGTCCCACAGCAGGTGCTCTCGGGCTCAATCCTGCGAGCTCCATTATGCAACACCCTCGGGACGCCTCACGCCGTGTTCCTCCGCCAACTTACAGCCGTGGAAAGGGGACGATAAGCTATCAAGTCCCGTGCCAGAAATCACATTGGTTTATAATACCGCGCTGGCTTACAGTCATGTAGGTACGGCGAGCATGGACTGGCAAGGCAAGGTACCCAGGATTATCTTGAGCGGATCCCCGTACGAAGTATGTGGCTGGGCGTACTGGCTCAGAGCATCGCTGACCCATTTGTCTCACAGATCGGCCTTGCACATGGCCGTCTTCTGGCTGAGCAGATCCTTGCACAACTAGTGATATATCGTGCGCTTTTCCTTGAGACATGCAAATTCGAGTGGGAACATGTCTTAGATGTTGCTGCGGAGTTCAGCGCCACGATCGAACAGCTCGCACCCGATCTACTCGAGGAGATGCGTGGGATAGCGGACGGAACGGGCAGCACCGACGTCGGCCTGCTTGACATTATCGCATTGAACTGCCGTAGCGAGATTGCTCTGGGCCAGTGGGATGATGGGTGCACGGCGCTGGGATGGCGACTCCCGACAGACAATAATAGCCAGAAACAGATCTTGGCCCAGAACTGGGACTGGCGCACGACCGTCGGCCCCAACCTCGCCATGGTCTCCATCAGACAGCAAGGAAAACCTACCATTTGGATGGTCACCGAGGTACGCGTTGCAATCATCTTATTTTCTATCCGGTCTCATCTCATCTGCAGCCAGGAATCGTCGGCAAGATAGGCTTCAACTCGTCCTCCGTCGGGGTATGCCTGAACGCCATCCGCGCGCGACCAACATTGACGACGCTACTTCCCATCCATATTCTACTCCGTCTCGCGCTGGAGTCCCCCTCGGCCTCCGATGCCATATCTACCATCGAGGCGCTCGGCGGCGCGGGGTCTTCGCAACATATCCTGATTGCGGACAGCGCAGGTGCTCGCTCACTCGAGCTGTCGCCGCGCGGCGGGGTGTACCTCGGCGCAGACGCGGACGGACTAGTCGTGCACACGAACCACTTCCTCGCGAACAGGCTTGTCGACGAGCCGCCGTGGCTCGCTGGGTCGCCGCTCAGGCTGGCGCGCGCACGTGAGCTGTGTCAGGAAATCCTCGTGGGAGCACAGCGCTCCGAGCTCCCCGCAGGGCAGGTGGTCGATGCGACGGTGCTGCGGCGCCGCGTGTTTTCCGACGCGGAGGGAGCGCCGCAAGCGATTTGTTGCGTTCCCGATGTTGCACGTGGGGGCCTTGCGAGTATCGAGACACTGTTTAATATTGTCATGACATTTGAGGACGGCAAAAGCCCGGTGGCGGAGGTGGTGTTCGGAAGACCAGGCAGTGCCACAGAGAGTAGCGTCTACAAGATGCCTTGGTAATCTTCACCGAATGCCTATACAAATATCTTCGTGGAAAAATCTAGCGGGCGATACGCTGAAGATAGACCTTGGCAAAAGGATAAATATTTTTAACTGCTCATAAATCACCCAAACCCCAATATTTCGCGAGATTGAATGCGCTGGTTGCGGCCTGACCGGGTTTTGAGTGGTCTGTGCAAATAAGGAAGACCGCCTACCTAATGTAGCATAAGCTACTTCCGACTTCTTTGGTGTCAGGATATTCAGACTCAGCATATGCTTCTCTTCAAGCAAGGTATAATAGTAGGGGTTGCATTGTTGGAAATGCCGCGTTACCTTTTACTTCCTACCTCCACCCCCTCAGCCCTCTGGCAGATAGTCCAGCTGTGGATACTCCCGCAGGGACCTAGCTCCTTCTAGCGGATGAAGGCTGTTCCATTCACATTGCAAGGATTCTGAAGATAAATTAGAGTACGTGGCGTGTTCGATAGCCTTTGCCGTGGATTGAATACATATGATCGCAGCATGGCCAGCTACACTCCTGTTTCAGGGGGTCACAGGGGAACACATTGGACGCCGACGTCATCTGTGGACGCAGCACTCTCTGATACGCGCGTAATTGACTCCAAGTGAGATATTCTAACACGAGCAGAGGGCACATCCGTAGGTATGTCATGGCTGCAGCTCCGACGGCAGAATTCTCTGCAATTTTGCGCGATAAGTCAGAGGTAATAACCTATTTTGGGCATGACTATTCTGGATAGGTGTTTATCCTCGCCGAGTTAGCCCTAGCGCCTCATCACCAACCGCCTGCAGCACGGACTCCATTCATTCATCATTTACCGCCCTACAAACGTTCCTTTACTTGACACATTGTCGCACCTACTCGTGGAAGGGTACTCCGCCGGGGGACACGTGCTGGACCGCATTCCCTGCGTAGAGCACGACGTTCACGTGTATGAACGAATCTGAGGAGGTTGCACAGAACAAGTAAGCATTACCCCTTGCTTCTCTAGTAAACCCTCCGAGCCTGACATGTCACCTGTTCCCTCCATTCTGGAGTCTGCCTCTGCTGCTGAAGACAAAGAAAGCACTATCGAAGAGCGGAAGGTGGAGAGCAGCGGATCTACAGAGCGCTTGCGTGACGGCGGCTGCAACGGAGAGAGCAGCCAGGGTCCTTTCACGCATACGGACATGGCTTCTTCTTCTGGCGAGGACGCCTCCTTCGCGAATGCATCTTCCACAGAGCCTCGTTCTTGCCGCGTGGGCATAACAGGCCCGCCGTCCTCTTTCCGTCTCTCCTCTAGTACAAGCAACACGGAGACGTCTGATAGTGCATCCTTTTCCCCTCCATCCTCCCCCAGTCTCTTTGCCGCCATATCCCCACCGAGGCCGCCCCGCTCGCCGCTCCGACCCACACCCCAAACGCGGCGTGCTTCTGCGTCGCTGCTTAAGCACGAGCAAATCGACCTTAGCCCCGACTGTGACGAGATGCCTTTGTCCCACTCACGCAGTCTCGGATCCTTCTCTGGTCTGCTAGCCAGTCAGCCTGCTAGTGCCAAATCAAGTCGCTCGGTTCGTTCCCAAACACCCGACAAGCCGTTGCCCATCACTCCAGATCCGTCCATCTCGGCCGTATCCGTGAACGACGATGATCGTGATCGCGACAGAGAGCCCGAAAACGACCAGAAGGAGCTCGAGGATGCGTTGTCAGTGAACTCTGAATTCGTCTCCTTGTCGGTCCCTGCATCCGGTTCGAGTCTGGGTCCTGGCTCATTCTTGCAGCCGCGACCGACGGTGTCGAAACGCGTACACGCGTTGGAGGAGCTACTCTCCACCGAACGTGCATATGCATCCGATTTAGCCCTTATACGGGATGTCCACATCCCCCTCGCATCAGGTGAGTACTCTGTCACTGTTCTCCGCACATATGTGCTCAGTCATTGCGTGGCAGGTTTACCTGCGCCTTTCCTTGCTGCTCCCCCTACGCCGCCACCGTCTGGCCCGTCCTCACGTACTCAGTCCACATCCTCCGACGCCCCGAGCCATGTTCTGGACTCTGCGTCCTCGATATGTGGTTCTGAACCACCCATGACCCGGGAAGACATCCGGATCATATTTAATAACGTGGCAGACATTGCTGCCTTCTCAGACCGCTTCACGGAACAAATCGAAGAAGCGCTAGGTTCCATCCTTGAAGGTGGGTCAGGCGAGGACCGTATCGGAGCGCTGTTCATCGAGATGGCAAGTTGATGTCTTCGATCCCACCCTGCAGCGTCTGACCGTGTGTGCAGATTCCCACCCTGGAGCCGCTGTATCTCGCCTATATCACCAAGCACGCGAGCGCGTTGGAGCACCTGAACAACCTGCCCAAGACTCCGGCCCTCACAAATTACCTCGCGCAGTCGCGTTCGCTTGCCTCAAGCCTTACGCATGCCTGGGACCTTCCATCCCTCCTCATCAAGCCAGTGCAACGTCTTCTCAAGTATGCCCTCCTGCTGAGTGCCATTATCGTCGAGACGCCAGATGGCCACCTGGACAAGGCAAACCTAAAGCAGGCGCGGGAGAAGATGGAGGAGGTGGCGCGTGGTGTAAATGAGGGGCGCAGGCGCAGGGAGGTCGTGAAAGAAGTGCTGAGTGGGCCGCCTCTCGGTGGGAGTCCACCGCATAAGCGGCACAGCGACCCGAAGCCGAAGCCGAAGAAAAAAGGACTCAATGTCGGTGTGTCCGCATCAGTAAGTTTGGGTCGAATGAAGAGTTTCAGCAGCGGGTCGAAGCTACAGAATGCCAAGGAAGGGTCCGAGGCGAACCAGGAGGCCGAGCTCGTTGAGAAGCTCGGTGAGGAGGTCAAGCGATGTGAAGCGTTTGCCCGCCAATTCGCCAAGGAGGTGACGGAATGGGTACGACTGGCACAGGTTACACTAGAAGACCTCAGCCGATGGTGCAAAGGTTTTGGCCGCGTGATTGGTGTGTCGCAGGGGGATTCGGAGGCGTTCGAGGCGTTCATCAAAGTTGTAACGGACGAGCTCCCGTCATTGGGCCGCGAACTACAGGACAACGTCAAGAGCAAGATACTGGACGAGCTCACCAGACTAGTGGACTCGACGTTGGCCCCGCTCCGGTTACTGGAAGCAATGAACACTCTCGAGCCGCTACACTTTGGTTTGTTAAACCTCAACGTAGCGAAGTCCCGGCCTCCTCCACAGCTCTTGGAAGCGTCGCAGTCGTATGTTGCCCTTCGTGGACAGCTTGCTGCCGAACTTCCTCAGTACATCAAGCTGCTCGACAAAGGCGTTGGAGTCTGCTGGGAGCATTTCGAGTTTCTACAATCCCGATATTGGAGCCAGGTACGGGATCGCTGGATGGGTCTATGGGATGGTCTCAAGGTAGAGGGCGAGATGAATGCGGGTGCGGTTGAGACGGTGCGGGTCTGGGGCAGCCGTTTCGTGGACGCCGAGACCAACATACTTGGGCTCAATATTATCCGGCCACCGGAGAAGAAGTTGCACGCACTCGACGTGACACGGCAGAAGTCCAAGCTTCGCCTGAAGTCTTCCGACGACAGCTGGAGCGAAACCAGCTCGACCGTGATTGTGCCGTCGATATTGACTTCGCTCGATCCGCCGTACGAACCATCCAGCTCGCCTTCGACATTGTCTCTTCAAACGCCTGTCAGCGGCAAGGCACGCAGTGTTCGCTCAGTGGACGTCGGGAAGAGCCGGGCTCTGGAACGACGACCCTCTAACGAGAGCCTACACTCCAAGAAGTCAGGGAAGTCCGTTAAGTCGACGAAGTCGACGAAACGCAATCCCAGTCACGGTATTAATAGCGCCGAACTCGAAATTATGGAATACGCCCCACGTGCACCTACGACACCTCCCCGACAGTTGCCGCAGAAGCAGACATATACGAGGACGAAAAGCATGCCGATTCCGTCACCTTTACCCCTCCAGAAGACCCAGTCTCAAGGTCGCATGCTCGACCTCGATCACGCTGAGATCACCCGCATGAGGGTCCCTCATCATGCGGAAATATCCGTCGCTCTGCAGGGAGATGTCTATGATGACGATGATCGAGGGCGGCCTTCGCGAAAACCATCGTTCAAGCGGCGGTTGACGGAAACTCTCCGTCCTTCTTCCGCATCATCGCGACATCAACGTTCACCCTCTCTCCCTATTGGCATGACCCCGTCACCGTTGCCGTCTCCGAACACATCGACGTTCCAGAATGGGTCGTCGAGCAGGCAGTGCGGCAGACCAAGCACCGGTGGGTTGAGAATACCCGCAATGTATAGGTGTCAGGTGGTCCACGCATGCGAGCCACCATATGACGTATCATATCGTGGCCTTCCTTTCTTCCACCTGCGTCCCGGGGATGTCTACGATGTTTTACAGGAGGCTGGACATCCGTCCATACACCGAAATCTTCCCTTGCAGGTTGACGATGGTGAGGACTGTCTCCTACTCGTAAGGGACGGTGCAGACAGCGTTGGATGGGCATTAGCAAGTTTCCTTGTACCGGCGGACTAGTTGAGATTTATTTATTTTGCTGGATACTGCATTACGTGGAGCATACCAATATTCCCCTCATTGTACACCTTGTCTCCGTATACCTGGTAGATGCTCTCATTGTTGTACGTTGCATTCTGCATATCCTTAGCACATCTATCGTTGTTGTAGCAGCACGATCCGTATATTAGAGCAAATTTAGTTTACAGTGTTTCATGCATCATGATGAAGTCCGGTTCTTCGGCGTATCGCATCTGTCTGAACCTCACTGAGGCGACGGCGGTTCGTTGGAGAGGAGCTCAATCGGTTCCCCCTTCGCGTCTACCGGCCAGAAGTTATTCTTGAAGAGACATTGTGGGTCGTACCTGCGCTTCAACTCGGCGAGGCGCGACCAGTTTTTGCCAAAGCATGCCATTGTCCGGGGAGGAGGCTCATGTCGTGCCAAGAACTGCAAGCTATCGTGAGTCACACAATCACATAGCCAACCTGGTTGCTGCTTACGGATGGATAAGGCCCTCCCAGTGCGACGGTGCCGATGACGCCGTCAATCCACTGTTATATATTGTTAGACCCTGACATACCGACGATGAGGGCAGACAGAAACGCACGTCTTCAGCAGATGTGATGCAGCGAGGATCGTCGATTCCCATCTCCCATTGGTGCAGTGCGGCGACAGTCCATGTCGCATCTCGCTGTTCTTTCGGGAGACACGTGTCTTCGAAGTCACCGATTGCGCCTCCTGACAGCTCGAAAAGCCACGCTAAAAGGATATGACGCCATCGTTAGTATCGCTACAGACGATTTGCAGATCGTGGACCGAGTGACGTACTGCAGCCGATCGGCGTGTTGGCGAATTGGATGACGGTCTTGTTGACTACCTCATCCGGCAACGAGTGAATCAGGGACGAGCGGATAAACCACTGCCTTCCAGCTACAGGGGAATATGAATATCTCAGTAGCGTCCAAGGCCTGGGACATACAGGCATCAAAACGTGCCTTTTCCTCGCAGAATCTGCGCTACGCTGTCCTGCTGGTTGAGGTAGCTCTTCTCGTTTACCTCGTTGAGCAAGCAGCGCTCGCCATCCCAGCTGGAGATCGCGTTGAGGTATTCAATACCCTTTTCTTTCGGCCCGACATAGCACATCTGGATGACGACCAGCGAATCCTTGTCTTCGGGCCCCGCCGTCAGCAGGACGTTCGCGTATAACTCGCGGGGCGCATTCTTGACGCAGTCGCGGAAATGCTTGATGAGCGAGGGGGCAGTAGCACGGTGGAAGCGGCTGTAGGGGCGGGCATGAGCGTCACTACATCACAGTTTGGTGAAGGACGTACTAGACCAAGTTGCCAGCGAATACCACCGGGACTGGGAAAGCCCTGACTTTGTAGCGAGTAGCGATTCCGAACGCGGGCCCAGCACCGCGAACCGCCCACCAAAGATCTACAACGTGAACGATTGAGTATCATAGAACCAGCGCTGTAATACTGGTCAACTCCCACCTGGGTCATCATCTTGGTTTACAACCACGATACGCCCATCGGCCATCACCATCTCAACTTCGACCAGATTGTCGATGCTAAGTCCGTGCATCCGGCTGATGAAGCCGAAACCAGCCAGTAGCAATATGGACGAGCCAACAGGGTGGGCCGAACTATTGCGACAAAGTTAGCGCAAGGATCTGTACTCAGGCCGAGGCTGCAACGTACGAGGGGAAGTGATAGGGCACAATGCCGTCTTCTCTCGAGCCTGTCACAGGGCTGATGCCTTCCAGCGGGTGCTCTGCGGTGTACATGTCCACTTCCTTCTGGCGCATGCCGGCCCCGAGGGTGATGTACGCATGCTTGTGCACCGGCTGCGCGGGCGCCATGCGGGGCATCATCTGGCCAAGTGGCAGGCCAAAGGAGGACATTCCCATTCCCATTGGCATCGGCATGCCCATGAACGAAGGCGCCGGCGGGAACATAGAGCCGGAAGCGAAGGAAGTGTGCGAAAACATGCTAGGACCGACGCCGGCGCTGCGCACGCCTTGGGAGCCCAGGGAGGCCGACGGCGGGGGCGTCCAGCTACTGGAACCCATCATGGGGAAGCCACGGAGCATACCTGGTGGCGCGATAATTGACGAGGGGCCTGTCGCGAACGGGTTCGAGCCGCTGTACATGGGAGCGCGTGGTTCTGATGGCGCGTCCGAGGTCATGTAGCCGAATGGCTCCTGGGCCGAGGAGGCGGCCTGTGCAGGGGACGTGGACGTTTCCGCCCTTACAGCAGGCGCAGTGCTGGCCATCGAACCAGAGCTAACGCTAGGAGTACGGTCGTCGCTATCACCGAGCCTTGGAACCTTTGCCTTGTGTGCTTCGCCATCCAACGAGGCGGTTGGGGTCGACATGTCCTCAGCAGAATCGATGCGTCGCCTGTTGGCCGGTGGCTTTCTAGGCTCTTCTCCCTCTTCGGGCTCGAGCGGCGGGCCGCGCAGGAAGGATGCAAGACTCTCGGACGCCCCATCGTAAGACCGCAGAAGGTTGCGTTTCTCCTGTGTTGCCTCCAGCTTCGGCAGGTCGTCACCTTCGGCCTCTTCGCTGTTTGCGCGACGCCGTTTCGTACCCGCCATTGATGCAGGCTCCGCAGCAGCCGTCGTAGAGGGGACGTCTGCGGGGGACGTCTGCGTGGTTCCGACAACTAACGTACCCACAACGCCGTCTTTGTTGCCCTGGCGCCCGCCTGCGCGACCTTTGCCTTTGCTCCCGGGAGGTGGCATGTCGCTCAGACGCGTCCAATCCTTCCCACCTTGGGCTTCTGCTTCGGCCTCAGATAGAGGCGGCTCGATGTCGCACTCACGCAGCATACCAAGGTCGATGATCACATCGCCGGCAACTGACCATCCGGCTGTAGCATACCCAGCAGCCTTGACCGAGGGTGAGAGGCCGTGCTCTGTACAGAATCGGATAATGGCGCTGACGTCGTGCGCGTCGAGCGGGGACACAAGCGCGCGCGAGAAGCAGACGAGCTTGCCATTGAAAGTCCGCGATCGCTCAGCGAACCTGGAAGAGCGGAGCGTCGTGTTAGCGACAGGTGCGCGGGGCGGGAAATGGGCAGATGGGCAGATCAGATTGATGGGAGAGGATCGGCGGATGCAGGGACATGTGCGGAGGGGGATCGGCGACTTACTCGGGGTCAGAAGGGCGGAAGACGGGGCCTTTGACGACTGTGCGCAGCTCATCGAACAGAGCTTGCGAGAGCTCGGATCGCGGAATGGTCAGGCTTGGTATCGCCGGAGTCATCATCTACGAGAATGGAGCGTCAGCGAGAATCTTGCGCGAATTGTGGGCGTTTAGAGAGCATTGCTTTGTCTCCAATATGCGAGAGCGTAAATGAAATCCTTACTTCAAGCGTCTATCAAGAAGGCCGGCCTGAGAAGGGAAAAGGTCCTGAACGGTTCCGTGAGGGGCAGCCGCAATCCACAACTCGCGAGCCTTTTATATGACAACGGAGTGCAGCCGAATGCGTGTGTGGGGCGCGAAACTTACTTTGCAAATTGACGAACTCTACCAGTACCCGGGAAAACGTCCACTAGCTACATCACCAATTGCGCTCGAATTTCCATTGCTACCTGGAGCGCGGTCTTCGACAACCATATACTATGTAACAGTTACACGTTACAGGGACCGCATAACGTATGAGGGGTCACGGCACGGAAGGCGGCGGAAACGTTGACTTTGGTCAGAGACAGCCCGCTACCGCGACGACAGGCTGGTGTGACAAATCGCCCTAATCGAATACACATAAAAAACAAAGTACAGCGCAGTTAGAACGCTATACTAGAAGTGGAGAAATGGAAGATGCGCAGTCACTGATTTGCCCGAGTAAGAAGGCATTTCTGAGAACCAGGGGTCAAAACATGTGCTAGAGCCGCTCTTCTCCCGTTAAAAGCAGGGCGCACGTACGACATTTGACAGTTCCGAGGCACCTAGTGCTTAGCGGTAACGCTCCAGTCGCCCCGCAGTCCGGGGCAGTCTTGAGTACCGTGTCACTAGTTTTGTGCTGTGCTCATGGCAAGAAGCACCATGACCTCATGCATCCTTTGCGGTCGTAGAGGACGGATAACCGACGCGGTTCAACGCGCACACAGTGGGGAGGACTTGTATGACTTGAGGAGGTTGGTTAATTCCATTGTATTAGGTTGCCTTTCTGGGCACCTGTAACACGGTCACATGACTCGCATATTTCGTACAAGAACGCGCGGCGTCAGGCGCCAGCCAGTGACAGCTCACCGTGTACAGCAACGCGCTTGCCGCATTGCACTGTCAGCGCTGTGCCACAGGTAAGCGTGCGGGTACAATACATTCCAGACTCACGTAACTGATATGTCACTGTTAATTACCACGGTTCCGTCGGATGGAGTTCCCCGCTGTCTATCCGGCAACAAGATCACGATGGAGTCGCGCTGCTGGCAGTAATACTTGCACCTAGAGAGCGCGACTGATGCTCAGCACAGTCTGTGTCTTAGGCTCTGAAACTGATATCAGCCTTCGCTGGGATTTTCATAGCACCCCGTGCACCTCCATACGGCTGAAAACTGTCAGTTGTTGTTGCGGATGCCTGAAGGACAAGCCACAGAGCAATCGTGCGTATGATGCGCGTATTGAAACGTGGTGAAGTTCTACAACCTCAGACACTCATCCGAGCGTTCACGACGCCATAGCATGAGTTTGCTATAGCTTTCCTCTCCCGCTCACTGTTGGCTTGAAGCTATGGCAATGGCATAACAGGGATTCATGAACGCGCTTATGCTCAAGAATATAAGCAATGGTCCTGCAATGCATCATGTATGATTGTGAAGCCTCTTGCTTCCATACCGCACTTTGCCTTGATTTCATTCCAATCAGCATTAAGTATGTGAGAAACTGCGCACGCCCTGATGATCATTTGCTGGCAGCGGGTTCTCGCGGGCCTTCCCGGGACTTGTGATGACGGATAGGTGTAGGTCTCACACCGATTGATTACCCTTCGTATTGTGTTGGGTCAGCAGGTGAGTTGACGCGATATCTAGCTTTGGTGCCAATGTTCATAACCTATGTCTTTCAACGAGTAGTCTGACCCTACATTGACAGGTTTGGACGAAGCCCCTCGATACTCTGACCTCAGGTTTCTCTTGTGCGATCTGTATGCTACCTAGTGTCATTATGAAGCGACAATGTAGTTGCTAGTCGACCTCTTCAGTTTGCACAGCCACTGGCCCCGCGCCATCCTGGATGCTTCCACCACACAACTCCAACTCAACAACCTGGTCTACCCATTCGTTGTCACGTACGTTGCCGTGAGTATTCTTCATTTGTTAAAATAGATCACTGGGATGATTGTACAGCATGTGTATGAACGACCTCGCGTCATTATCATGACTTCGATCTGGTTGCTAGTCAACCGCTGAACATTGTTGTGGCATCTACGCCTTTGCATCGATTGTCGCTGAGACCTTTGACAGACTCTACAGACAGCAACAACCGCGCTATACCGAGGACCAATACCCGATGGATGTGACGCAAAGCTTGTCTCTCATACTGTGTCGGGCCTTGCAAGGCCCAGCGCAATCATTGGCCGAGCGATACATTGGCTTCAGCTGGCACGCTTGTGCTCTCTCATTGCCACTCCTTCGACCGTAGGCAACGTTAGCGCCAGGCAATGCCATTTCTTGTCCCATGCTGGAAAATGTGCATCTCGAGACGCAAATTGGAGATAAGAGTCTTCATCAGTACATTTATGCCTGTAGGATGCGAATTAGTGCCCACTCATTATGAACACGGCATAGCACCGTCATCATGATTGTACTCTTGTTGCTGGTCAACAGCTGATCGACAATTTCTTGCGCCTCATTCTTGTAGCTCATGTTCTCACGCGACACTCTTCCAGGGACGCATCATTCCACTGCTCCTTCTGGTCATGAACGTCGAATAGTGAGTCATCCTGCTCTATTATCAAATCAGGACATCCCGAACGCGTGTCGTTTGTCACGTTTATCTCCGAATCCCTGAAATCTATACTTGCGTGCTTGTGTCACAGATAGCTGACATGCTCTCTTCATGCAGACAAGGCTGTATAGTCGTAAGGTGTACAGTCCTATTCATCTTACTAACGGTGCTTCTTGAGTATGACATACGGCCGCGTCTGATTGGCTAATGAAAAACTGGAGGACCATTAGAATCGTGTCCAGTCTGCCGAGGGCTGCATCTTGTCAGGTGTCGATGATCACTCGAAGGCTTTAAAATCATTTCTGCTCGTTGATATTTCGTTCGTTGCCCGCTAAGGTGAATATTCCCTAACATTGCTTATCCTACTCGGATGCGTTATTTGTACCCATAATTCTGAGCGGTGTGGTGCTGCTATCGTGATCTCAACCTCTCTCTGATTCTCTGACCCACACATACACCAGCTACTGTATGGTTCTCGTTTCGACGTTGCACTTGCTGATTGGAGACGACAGGTCATTTCTAGGCTCGTTTGGCAGTCCGGCGCCGTTCGTACGCCGGCTGTCCGGGAATGTCAATCGAGTATGTCGTTTCATAGACGGTGAGCATTCGCATTCGGCGCCGACGTCTTGAGAGATGGGCCTGTTTGTCTTGTGTTTGTATTAATGTTGACACATGGTCTCATATATTGATCGTTGTGCCGTCTGACACGATCTTCTCCAGGACACGTATGCCACTCTGCTCAACTGCCAGTCATGGGATCGCTATTTATAGGTGAGTAGGCCGCTCATAGCGATACATAAGGAGGAATTATACTTATGCATGTGCGTACGGCCTGGTGCCTTCATGCCGAAAAGCTTGGTTGCTGAGCAGCCACTGAACTCTGCGATGTCCGCTTTCTTGACTGAAGTACAGGAAGAGCTGACGCATCTTTCGCAGGTTGATGGCGCTCTGTGCCCATGAAGAGATGAACAACCTCAAGAATGTGTCAAGTAAGCATCTTCAATTTCTCTGAGTTTCTTCGTGATGTAGTATGTTGTGTAGGTTTGAACATGAATGTGGCCTTGTGCTATCATTTTGAGCATAAACATGGCTTTATCCTCTGATCGTTATTCATCCTTGTTGTCTGCTCGCGCGCTGACTCGTGCAGTCAGTGATCTATGGGATTGAAAACATTTCGCAGAGCATATAGGAGTCAACGTGTTGTTCGCCGCATGAGCTATACTGCAGTAAGTCCACTGCTGTTGTTATGAAAGCAGACGGGATGAAATTGTGGCTATATACAACAATGTTGTAGGCTGCGAGTCGACGGGCTATTCCTGAATCATCTGAATATATGTCCTTATTCTTTCTGTCATATTGTATGCCCTGGCACAGCCTTCTGGCGTATGCCGCATGCGGATATCAGAAGTACGCATTTGTCAATGACGTAGTGGACTGCCTGGATATATAAAATGGCGCAGATGCCCAAGTTGCAAGTCGCTTCCCCGCTTTGGAGTCAGACACACCGTGCCTTGCCGTCGACATCCGCTTATCTCAATGGAGGTATACCGACATGGGCTCTGGCTTACCTACGCTCTGCTGCATCATCAACGCCACATGATATATGCTCGATGCACTGACTGGCAACGCAATCGGGAAGCGTTAATTTGGAGAGCACGCTATATGCCCGGACTTCGGCGTGTCATCGAGACATCACTTTGAAATATCTAGGTGAGCGCCTTCCATTCTACCTGGCGTATCCGATTTCTGATCTTGGCCCGTGTAGTATGCGTTTGGAGCTTTTATCTCGGATCTCAATGTGGGTTGGATATCTTCGCCGGGGGTTGAGGGCGACAGGGGTGATGAGGCTCCTTTCTTGTGGCCACCGACCCCGTTCCTGTTTTGAATGGATGGCATGGGACGTTGAAGATGAGTCTGGAGCGGGATGACATGTCGCCAACATGAGGCTCTCGACTTGATCGATCCCTGAGCGGGCACCCTTTGAGGCGCCGGGCCGACGGGCCGAGGCCGGGGCGGTACTCGAAAGTGCTGGGCGGGTGAAATGAGGTGACTGCTCTGTCATTGTCAAGTGACATCATCCCCCTCAAGCTCATCGTAAGCCGGATCGATTCAGCCACTGCCAGCGCCGCCCCAGGAGTATAAGAGCCCTCGTGTCGCGCAGCCCCCTCGTCCTCGACTTACTTTTCTCCCTCCATCTTCCCCTCGCCATTCCATACACTCAGCACGATGTCCGACGGCAAGCTCCTCACCCTCAACACTGGCGCGCAGATCCCTCAGATCGGTCTCGGGACCTGGCTGTCCGAGCCCAACGAGGTCGAGAATGCCGTAAGCTGTCTTCCAGCGATCCCGCACCAGATCCGCGTTGACTGACGCTGTGCGCAGGTTGAGATCGCCGTCCGCCACGGCTACCGCCATCTCGATCTCGCGATGATCTATCAGAACCAGGACGAGGTCGGCCGCGCGCTCAAGAAGGTCATCCCCTCCGTCGTCAAGCGCGAGGAGCTCTTCATCACCTCCAAGCTGTGGAACTCGTCCCACAAGCCTGAGCTCGTCGAGAAGGAGCTCGACGAGACCCTCTCACAGCTCGGCATCGACTACCTCGACCTCTACCTGATCCACTGGCCCGCCGCGTTCGCTTCCGGCAAGGGCCTCTTGCCCAAGCGCGCGGACGACGAGAAGTGGGTCGAGCTCGACACAGAGACGTCGCTCGCGGACACCTGGAAAGCGATGCTCGCACTCCAGAAGACGGGCAAGGTCAAGGCCGTCGGCGTGTCCAACTTCACGATCGAGCACATCCAGGGTATCTACGACGCCACGGGTGTCTGGCCGGTGCGCATTACATTTCTGGCTGCGCCTTGGATGATTTTCTGACAGGATGGGGCGCATATACAGGCGGCGAACCAGATTGAGGCGCACCCGCTATTGCAGCAGGACGAGCTCGACGCATTCTGCAAGAAGAACGGCATCCACATCACCGCATACAGCCCGCTGGGTAACAACTGTGCGTATTTTGCTTCATATGATTGCGTTTATACAATGCTGATGGGCGTTTACTCTTTCCCGGTCTTCTTTCCTTCCTGATTCCTATAATATTGCCCGTCGATCCTCGGTGCCTGTAGTGGTCGGGAAGCCGAAGCTCACGGACTACCCTGAGGTGCATGCGATCGCGAAGAAGCTTGGCGCAACTCCCGCGCAGGTTCTGGTTGCCTGGGGTGTGTATCGCGGATACTCGGTCATCCCCAAGTCCGTACAAAAAGGTCCGTTTCTGTGGCTAACCTCCTGCCACCTGTGCCCCGATGCTAACCTCGCGCTTCCGCAGAGCGCATCATCTCGAACTTCAAGCAGGTCACGCTGTCGGCGGAGGACTACGAGGAATTGACGGCGGTGGGCAAGAAGAGCCCGACGCGGTTCAACATCCCCTTCTACTACTCGACGCGTTGGGATATCAACATCTTCGGGCAGAAGGAGGAGGCGGAGGCGAAGAACACGCCGAAAGTCAAGTAAGCGCCGCGCAGTTCGAGTGTGCTATCGCTGTTGTGCCTAGACGTGCTGAGAAGTCAAAATTGAGAAAGTGTATGTAGCATACGAGTGTCGATCGAGTGCGATTTACGCATTACAAACTATTGCATCCTCATTGCGTGCGCTGATTGATTTCTACACATGTCAGATGTGTGCGACGCGCAGCTACAGTACGCATATAGATGTAATCACACTGATTTACATAGGCACTGGCCTGACTGGGTACTGTTATATGGAGTTTTCGTACAGAGAATGGTGAACCAGCGCGGGGGAACACGGATATGTATCAGGTGAAGTAGCATCTCAATCCCGAAGAAAATGGTGCAGCTGGGATCGTGTACATACACTGGAGTAAGTAGGGACCAGTTTCCTGGCGCAGTGTTGGTAGTGAAATGAGGTGCGACCCCATTCTAGGTGAAGGGGATGTGAATCTGAAGACACCCTCTTTTACTGAGTTGCAGCAACATGCGCACGAGACAGACTATGAGCCCGACGAAAGTTATACTGAACCCGCTGACAACTGGCATTCGCAATCGCATGAGTCAGGGCAACGTCGACCGGCGGGGACATACACCCTCACATAGGAATATATTGAACAGCGTGTTTACGTCGAAACTATCAGGCCTCCAACACGCCGCCACTGTAACACACTACATGCGGGAGAACCTCCGAATGATATTCACCTCGGAGCATCGTTAAGAAGTATTTGCAGCTTACCGAGCCACTAGCGGTGCTTCGCAGGACTACATGACACCCCTGTGTTGACTTGTCCTCCTGAAGACTCAACAGGCGCCAAACCGGTAGCGCACGACTTCACATTGTTACTGCACAATTTGCCTCTGGGCTTGTGGGCCTTCGCCATGCCGGTTTGGCCTGTGTCAGGCCTCCTGGACCAACACCAGCTGTTGCACCGCACGAAGACGCTCAAGTAAGTCGGTATCGCTATCAAAGTACAACAATGTTCTTGGGTGCGCCTATAGCAACAAATATAGGAAGACTACAAGCGAGATGAGTGAACGTGTTGCCGTGGGTCCAGTATGCTTATGGACCTAGGCGCATCCTCTACCTCCTGTCGCTTTTCCTGCTCCCTTATTGACTGTGCCTCCAGGGGTGGTGGCGCAGTCCTCAATTCATACAATCCCCACAATATCCTCCACAATGCAGGACGCATCGACATGGAGATGAACTCTCCTGTGAAACAGCTTCAGATCCTTCGCCCACAGATCTTTGTTCTTCTTGATCGTCATGGCATCGTTCAAGACATGGTATTGAACGCAGCCATGAAGATCAAGGACAACATTGAGCTCGACGGATTAATGAGTTTGCCGTAGGACGTGCGCCGACCAAAAGGCCTGAGTGAAGGATCACGGAGTAGTTGTGGATCTTTTCGCCGAGGTCCTATACACATTGAGGTGACGGTTCGTTTCAGTCGTAAATTATCGGGTCGCGAGGTCGCAGCGGCTCACCTTCAAAGGGCTATGCCTGCCGCCATCCTTCTTCTTGTCCATGAATCTTTTGATCCACCATCCCACAATACATGTAGATCGCTACGGACTGTACGAAAGTAAGCCCACGCGTATCAGCGTGCATTCGGGAAGGACGACGCACAGAAAGCCAGATTATGGTGAGAGTCCGCCCTTTTATGCCCCGTCACCACTTCGGAGGCATTAGCTATCTATGTGTGTATGTACACATTCGGGGACAGCGCCCCCGCGCAGGAGCCACTTCAACTCACCACAGACGGCTACGTGGTACGCCGCACGTGAAAGTATGCAACAAGATTCGACTGACCCGTCCTGAAGTCCTGATATGATGCAGCCTGTATCATATCAGGCCTGAAGGACGGGCCACTTCCGTTCAGACTTCTCGACCGCTCACTGTCGTCCATGCTCCGTCATGTCGATCTTTCGTCTCACTCTCCAATTTCGGTGCTCCCATTCTCCGGCACGTCTTCCCGGTACGGAGTATAGTCGTCTTCGTCGTCTGATTAATCTCTTTTCCGTTCTACAGGCTTGGGATCGGGTCCAGAGCTAGTACCACTAGACTTGCGGTAATGGGCTGTGGCCGGGCCAAGGTGAAAGTGGTCATCAGTAGCGACTCGCTGTTGAGCACCGTGTACCCATACCGTTCTGCATTTCTTTGATTCTAGCAGATCGTGGCTATCGACTATGGCTAAGGAATGTGCGGACATGAAGTGAAGGTTGACGGTGAAGGGAGAAGCGGCGAGAGAGTGGCTTGAAACAGCGGAGACTTTTGCTGAGTTCATATTGTCTTGCATAACACGTGACGCATCATGTGAAAATGACAAGCTGAGCATGAGAGGTCAGATACGAAAGTCCTTACATTGTCAGCGTTTGATGTATCGATGCACTGTCCACTGGGAATTCTGCCCAAGATGTTACGGAACATCTAAGAGGATAGAAACAACCACGTAAGGAGCAATGCGCTACATCTATGCAGAAGCCGAGTGTGAGCATCTCTGAAGTACAAATCAGAATGCAAAGTCAAAGCAAACTGACCCTGACCTTGACGCCGACTGCGATCTCATACAGGGGACTTGAAATGCATTCCGGCATGAATGCAATCAGAAATGCTTGATTCGGTATCTCGCTGCGTCCCACAAGGACCTATACGACTGCATACAAATGGTGTGCGCCTCCGAGTAAGCCCACATACTCTGAGGATAAGTTGACGGTACACTATTTTGAAGCGGCGACGATCCGGGAGCGCCTTCAAAACACCCAGCACTGTCTCAATATCGACTGCCGGAAGCCACTCTGGCAGGAAATGTTCCACAAAACATGCTTGTCCCGCCATCAGGTCGTGGACTGATTTTGTACATGCCGATTTGACGTGCTTGCCACTGAAACCGAGAGCGAGGTTCCAGATGTATACCGAACGCGTTTCCTCGTCCATCCACTTGAACTACGGTGAGTTGTTCTTCATGATATCTGCTGCGCGCTGACAGACTGCTCTCTCGGAGTCCGTCGGAGGCATCGCGTGCATTAAGTACAGGAGATGATCCACGACGCGTGCCACATCGGCCATTTTGCGTCGGGACCCTCGACAGATGAGCGTGCCCAGCGCTCCAGAATGTGACACAATACATGGAGTGAATCTCAGACTGCTAGAAGCACGGGTGGACAACGGACGCCAGGAACGAGTCGTCCATGACAACTTTGTCGGCCTCCGCGAGTACGCCAAGGTTAGAGGAGCCTAGCTCATAGTCGTATCGCCTCCTGGCAGGCGGGTAGAATAATCCTCCAGTTCCCCCCAGTTAGCAGCCTTCACGGCTTGAAAGTAACACGCACACCACGCAGAGAGATGTGTCATGCACGCACCACGCATATTGGGGAATGCATTTGCGATGCATACTGTGACGAAGTATAATAGTGTATACGCTATGGTTCAGGTGCGAGCAGCTTGATTCTCACGTTGCCAGATATGCTTCTCATGAGCATATAGGCTCTTCAGCTCGTGAACTCCCAGGAGGGATGGTCAGTCGAAGACACTCATTTCAATGCAGAATAATTCTTTTATATGATGTTGGCGATCTTCGATAACCCGGCCCATTCCACATGGTACGAGGAAACCATTGACTGGTGGAATAAGTACGTGGTCAAGCTTGTCTGGAATCCCTTGCTACAAACTGATACATTATTCCCGCAAATTCTCGCTATCTCCCCTATATAGACGAGCCTTCGGCAACTCCTATACGGACCTGATCGCCTTACCTCTCCCTAGTCTCTGGGAAGAAGCAGCACTCTCATCTTCCATCTGTGCCCACCAGTTTGCACTTGCGCTTGCATGTGCAACTACCTGAGCAACACATCCTCATTGTTTTACTGGTTCGCACTCTGTCCACCACCTCGGCATGGCTAGCTTTCGCGCACTGTACCTTGGCCAACCGCGTCTATACGAGGGCAGCATGACTGCTGCCATTCACAGTCCTGGTCTATCCGCTGAGATATGGGGGCTCTTGGTGGAGAGCTTGATCATGGAATGGAGGGCCCTCCTCATGCTCTGCGGCCTCATGCTCACGTACGCCAGAAGATTGTCGCGGACTTTCCCTCTTACCAAAGCTCGTTCTTGACTTGTAGGGCAATGAGCGGCGCCTTTACACAATACGTACAGACAAGCGGCTCGCCACTACTTAACACATTCTGGCTCCTCGCCATTCTGTTCATGATTCTCAGTGTTGTAGTGACCCACATCTTCAGTGTTCACATTGCTAGGTACTCTAACGAGAACCGAGGTCGTGCTTGGCGTGCAGTAAGATTCTCTTCCTACGTATTCAAACGCTACTGACGCAAGGTTTGGCACAGAATTTTGGAGGCTTGCCAAGATGGGCAGACATCTACATGCTTCTCGCTCTACCCCGTGTGTTGCTTTTATGGTATGGATTCCCGAGGGATCTTCAGCGATACTATCTTTGACCTTATTGTGCAGGGGCGTCATCATGTTGATCACGGGGATCTACATATATATTTTCGACAAGGTGCTCAGTTTTTCCGAGAAACATGGTGACACTCTACTGCGAGTGCTCACGCCGGTTGTCAGTGGCATCAGCATCACCTTCATCGGACTCATAGTCTGTCTCATGGGCATGTTCCTGCGACTCGGCTGAAGAGAGCAAGTCTTCGGCTCATACCCGTTGTCCGGAGCCCGGACACCATCTGAACATCGTCCGGCAGGGATAGAACTTTCGGTTGAAACACGCACTACTTTGACTTTGTTTTCCTCCGGACATTGCATGCTGGCTCCGGGCCTTGAGTTACATCGTTGCTATGAATGCGATCGTATTGGTCGTGGTACTCCTGTTTGCTCTGTGTTTGCAGCAGTGGCAGCATATTGGTGATGGATTGCACCTCGCATTTCTGCATCCCACGGCCACGGGCCCGGGACTGCTGCTGTTGAGGCAGCTCAGGCTTGGACTGACACATTATCGTGCCGAGTAAGGCCACGATGAGCGGAAGCACGTCGGTAGTTAGATCTGCGTGCAGCGACGCGTATCGGTGGAGTAGGTTCCGTCGCTTCGTCGTCCGCCTATCTCGATGCAGGGCGGCACATGGGTCCGGGCAGGTGATCGGGTCGGAGGCAGTCACGTGCTGTACGAAGCACGCAGTTTACGATAGGCGTCGTATATGCAGGTGAAGCTATAGAGACTGGAAGGTGTAGGCTGAGATGCCGATGCCGCTGTCAGAGCGTGCAGACCGCGCCAACTCACAGTCGAGGGAGGACAAGGCCGCGGAAGGATACGGAAGAACAAATACCCCATCGGGGGCCCGATGAGATCTGCGTGCCAGTTCCGCGGCCGTGTGTGCCTGAGCGGAAGCCAACCTCGATCTGCTGCAGCTGCTGCTGTTTCCCTCCCTTCCCCTCACGCCCCGTCCTGCCCACCGACGCCCTCTGCGAGTTCCATTGCCACTCCGCCGACGCCCGCCCCCCGCGTGACACCCGACGTCATCCCGCCCGTCGACGTCCACGCACGCCTGCCCACGACCGCCTTACGACCGCACACACGCACGCACGCCTTTTGACCGCACTCCCGTACCGCCTCGTCCACTGCTCTCAGCTCCTTCTGGCTTCCCTCCGGCCCTCCCGCTCCCCCGCTGCTCTGGCCGCCGATTGTCCGTGCTCGCCGGGATGAGCAGCGCGTCTCCCACCGCATTCCTCCTCTGGGCCATCCTCTCCGTCCTCGTGCGTGTCCTCTTGTGCGCTCCTGCATCATTCTCGTTCCCCTGACACTCCCCGCAGTTCCTTATGTTCCTGATATATCATCTATGGGAATACGACCGGTTCCACTGCTTACGCTGGTCCGCAGGCCGCCAGCCTGGCGCGTTCAAGCGCGTCATGACCGTACGTCCCGTGTTGCTTGCATTCGCGTCGCCGGCCTGATCACTGGCCCAAAGTACTCCTACCTAGGGTCAGTACCTTTATTCGTCGTATACAGCATCGCGACGACTGTCATCAAGTACAAGGAGGGTACGTCCCTCGGGCTGTTGTATCCCCCCCCCCAAAGCACTAAGCTGCGCTACGCTCTAGGCTTCGTCGTCATGCCCGATCATCGCAGTAAGTACCGCTTTCTTTGGCCCACCGCCCCTTTTGGAAATAGTACTCACGCTAGTGTGAATTTGTCTCCCCCTCCGCCGTATTCTTCGCTCTTCGCTACTTGCCGCAACGTCCCAACCCATTCCGTACCACGCGCTCTATCCCACCTCACAGTCCTGCCGCGACCTGTGCAAATGTACGGTCCGCACAACCGCGCGTGGGTCATCCCGCTCAACTTCATCTTCAGCTGCGCATGGGCCCTCGAGCTGTGCGTGTCTCTCTTCCGTCTTTTTTTCTTACCCTCGCTACTTCTTCATCTCTTTGTGACTATCCCTCCCAGCTACGTCTTCCATTTCCTCCACGGGTTGGGGCGGACGTAGCTCTTCCACCGATCAGTTCGGCGGAGTCGGGCGCTTAAGAAATAGGGCACTCCAGAGTCGCGGCCATACCTTTGGCTGACTGGCGTGATGGAGCCTGTGGAAATCTTTGCAGTTGGGCACAACTACGCTTTCACTTACAGATCCAATTTGTCCGGCCAGCACATCTCAGATCCCAAGTGACATCTGGTGGACGGGCTGGAGCTTGCCCCAGCTCTGGCTCTGGCTTCCCCTCCCCGATCACAGAGGGCTAGACGTTTTGTGGTAAACCGTCCATAGTATCTACGTGTGCGCCACTCCCGCGTGTGCGGGGTTCCTCACACGTTCGTCCGCGCCACCCCGTGAGATGCGATTAGCGCATACACCTAGTATATGCTCTATGTTATCTGCGCGTTCCCTGTTGGTCATAGCCAGGAGGCAGCTGGTCAAAGAACCTGTCAATTCCCGGTCCCGATTTCTGAGTCCTCGGCCTTGAGTCTTTCGATTGCTGCTGGCGATATGCTCATCTTTCTCCCTTATTTCATATTCGAGCAGAGTGACACACCTCGAAGGCAAGCCCATCGCTCCTCTCGCGCGTGTACCCCACCTATGGCTGACGCTCTCACCTTGGCACTCTCGTTCGTTTAGAGCTCGCGTTTTGGCTGTACATGCTCCACCAAAACTCGGACAAGGGCGAGTGGTTCGAGAGCTGGGAGTACCGCCTGTGGTACTGCGGTGAGTGTCACAGCGCATATAATGGGCGAAAGGGCGGACCGGCGCCCCTGCTTGCACTCAACGCAACGCTGACCTGCCACCCGTGGCTCTTCGTTCGCAGGCAGCATCGTGGCGATCCTCGGCATGCCGCTCGTCTGCGTCGTCGCGCGGCGCGATCTGATGACGGTGCGCGGCCCTCCATCCGCCGGCGTCATACTGAGGGCTGACGCGCTCGCGCATCTCATTGCTGCCATCGCCATCCTACATCGCAGATGGACGCATACATCTTCCTGGCGGGCTCGTCGGGCTCGCTGAGCACGACGCTCGTGTTCCTCTACGTGCTGTGGCGCTTCCCGCGCTTCATCCGGCACGTCAAGGCGGAGGGCGCGGACCCCTCGGTCGTCGTGCGGCTGACGACGTTCCTATATTTCAACGTGCGTACCGCCGCTACGCCGTGGCTTCGTGTCTATTTATGTTTCTGACGCCCGAGTCCGTATCGTAGCGCGCGAGGGTGGTGTTCCGGTTTCTGTTCACGGTGCCGCTGCTGATGCTCGCGATCGACGGAATCACGGGGACGAAGCACCCGCTGAACACCAATTTGTGAGTGGCCCCCCGCTAATGCTAATTAACGCGCGTCTGCTGGTGCTCATTATCGGCGTCCAGGTTCTCCACCGGTAAGCGATGGGCGCGGCGTCTGCGAACAATCCGGGGCTGACAGTGTGTTTGGAGACTTTCTGCAGATGATCGGCGGGGTGGGGTGTTTCGTGTCGTCTGCGATCACGCTCGTCGTGGGTCTCTCTGCATTTGATGGCCACCTCCCACCATAACTGATAACTGATCTTTACCGGACGTGTTAAGGTCTTCTTCCCGCGCTCGATCATCAAGGAGGCGGGGTACAAGCCGAAGCCGTCCTCGTCGGTGCCGCACTCGCCCAAATCGGCGCACGCGTCGCCGTCATCCATCAGCATCCCCTTCGCGTCGCCGTCGTCCGTCGGCGTCCCCTTCGCGTCGCCGCCCGCGCACATGCAGCGGCGCGTCTCGTCGGGCAACTGGGACGGCGAGTCGTCTGCGCTTGGGTCGTTCCGCGGCGACGAGTCGCTCCTGGAGGGGCAGTCGATGTACCAGGGGCAGGGGCAGTCGATCCGCTACCAGGGGCAGTACGCGGACATGACGGACGACGCGCCGCCGTACCATGCGGCCCACGCCTACACGGACTCGGTCGCGTACGCGTACGCGCAGCCCGGGCCGGGGCCCCACACGCTGAAGCAGCAGGCGCAGTTGCAGCAACGACATCCGTTCCCGCACGCGATCCCGGGCGCGCAGCTGCTTGCGCTCTCGCCTGCCGCGGTGCGTGTGGCGATCCCGCCACCCGCTGCGTCTCCGCGGCAGGAGTGGGAGCGAGATCGGGTGCAGGCGCGCGGGGAGGAGGGGCAGCACCTCATGCACCATATGGCGCGGAGCGCGAGCTTCAGCGTGCGCGCGCCGCCGACGCACGTGAACCATCCGCACCCGCACCGCGCGTCGCTGCCGGCGTCGAAGCTGCATCCGTACGTGAGGACATTCACGTCGCCCATAGGTCAGTGCTTTCGTTCCGCGGTACCCTCGCGGCTGCCGTCTGATCTGGGCGAGGAGAGACGCTGACGGGCGTGTTTCTTCTTTTTTTTTTCCCTTTTCGTTGCAGATTTGGTCGACCTGGACAGACCAGAGGAGTATCCGCGCTCGCCGAGCTGATCTATCTATGCTGCTGTGATTTACTCTGCCCTTGATATAGCCTGCTCATCTTTTGCCCCTCGCGGGGTGTCGCATATCTACTGCCTCGACGACTCACCATACCACCCATACACGGGGCCTGACTCTGTCTCACACTCTTACACCATCTATCCATCATCCCCTGTTACCCCCCTGCCTGCCTGCTGCCATCTGTCCATCTCTTCATCCGCTAGCTATATCCCATACGTATACGGGCCCGCACCCCCTTCCCCCTCTCCCTCCCCCTCTTGTCCGCCCGTGCCGATGCGGCTTACATTATGAGGCTCTACTCCACCAATCACTATCGCTAAACGACGGACGACGACATGAAATTGTGTCCGCCGAGATCATTCCGCGTGGCCATGGCGTATCGCGCCGCCGGCAGGCATTTCAACTTTCCCCCCCTCACTGCTAGCCGACGTCGATCGGGATCCAAAGCGGTGGGCGCGGCCCGCGCTCTGCTGATGGGTTCCTGGTGACCGCGGGCTCGTTGCTGGCTGGCGTCAGTGCCTGGCTGTCGATCTCTGGCAACGGTTTGCGCTCCGGGAAGCTGGGAACTCGCCGGATAGCTGACAGGTGGGAACGAATCAATCAATGGTGTCTCTGTCGCGCCCGCCGCGAAGGGAGGGATGAAGAGGGGACCCGGACAGTGGACACTCTGCCATGATATGTTGTGTTGCGCGCTATTCATACCCATCTTCGCTTCGCTCTGTAGCACTGCTTTCGGCCGCCTGCTCGGTTGTACTCTCTGTACCATCTGTGTTTTATTTCTAGTCATAAGACGCGTGTAGGTTGTGCGTGCGCCAATGTGTATACCGTATCCCGTTCCCCCGGTCGACGTCGTGCAGAAACGGCATATATACACACCTTCCCGTCCCAGGCCCCGGCAGCAGCCCATCCCGCGCGCAGGAGATGATGCCGCAAATTGCAGATTTGGGGTGCATGCTTCAGATCCTCTCGGCCTAATTTGATCGTCGTTCTCCATCTCTTGCCGCAGCTGACTAGCAGTCGGGCCTTGTTATTGGCCGACATCTCGCCTTGTCTCTTTGGGCACTGCAGTCTGCCTGCACACCAGCCATAGTATGACACCATGTTAGGTCCGAAAGATACCAGAGGGCACCGTTTCGCTCGGGTTTAATAGTATTTAGGGTACCCGTTGTGCATGTCCTCGGCGAGAGAGCGGAAGACTCGAAGGTCGCGCTGGACTAACTAGTCCAGGGCACTGCTGGCCTGTTAGTAGATCCACACTTGACGCCGGAGTCAGTGTGAGCTCCCGTGGACACAACGCACGTGTGACTGTGATCATATCTTGTCGTAGATGACGACGAGGGAGTCAAATCGAGAGACGGCGCCGAGAGGAATAAAGGTTGCCGTAAACAAGCTGGTTCAGAGGAGAGGTCCCCCCCCCCAGAGCAGGATTCAGAAGGGACAGCCGATGCGGACTTCAACACACGAGACGGCTAGATGAAGCGCGGCAGGAATGTACCAGGGCGGATTTAAGAACCGGGCATCCAACGCACAGAACGACAATGTGGGCGCGCCGACAACTCATGTCGGAGCAGTAGAGGGGGACGGAGGTCTGGAGAAGTGACTGCGATGGGAACGAATGTTATGCTTTAGAGAAGACCTAGGCTCAGTCAGGATATGACGTGCCAGTGCCTTGGGGTCGGGCACTTGGCATATCGAGCGCAGGCGGGCAACACTGAGAGCTAGTGAGTGTAAAGGCACTGCTGCCACTGCAACAAAGTTCGTACGAGATTTCAAAGGGATAACTGCTTATTACTAAAGATACCATGATTTGGTTTTAAAGCATGACGTGTAAAGAACAGCAGATTCGTGAATGACGTCGACGCCAATTTGCACAAATGGATGTAGTGTCAGATAGGCTCCATATATCCCAGAACAAGAAGATTTAATGAGGATTTCCACGTACTATTTACTTGTACGGAAGACTAGAGCAGTCCATCTCTTGTTCCTTGAGTCTTGACGCAGCGGCGATGGGTCACGGTGCACACCATATTTGTGCTATTGTCATCTTCGCCTCCGTCAGCTTGTGCGCTATGCGTTTATTTATGCTGCTCGACATGCCTACAGGCAATGTCTAGAGAGCACAAGCATTTCAGGCTTAAATCACGTAGACCACATGTCAAAAGAATGTGTAGCCGCAGTTGTGCGAGACTGACTTTGACGCCTGTGGAGAGATCGGGGCTTCCCTATCTCAGGCACCAGAAATCGGGCCCTTTCCCCCGAGTTCTTTCACTACGACTCTGTACCTGTGTTATCTGCAGCTAAGCATTGCACTGTCTATGTGCTACAGGCTGGAGCTCTGGCGATGTACAGCATGAATGGGCACAGATGCAATCTTTATTGTCCGTATGCTCAATGTGGGTCACTAGCGCCTTATTGAGATAACGCGGCTGTTACACGTTGCGTTCGCACTTAGTCTTCATGAAACCTGACCCGGTTTGCAGAACGAGCCGCTTACGGCACTTTCCGGATCACGTGAAGCGCGTTTCGCAGTGCAATCGCGCCTCTCATAGAGCGTGTCGCGATACTGTACACAGTTAAATTGAGGGTCCATCATGCTGGTAGAGTGCGCTATGTGTTCTGTTCGTTTACGGTAACATTCCTGTTAAATTTCGAGTATGTTATCCACTAGAGGCCCTAAATCTGCCTCAAACTGATTGTCTAATGATGCTGAAAGTCTACCAAAATCAAGAATAATGCACAATAATAATTTAAGTGCACAATTTGATAGCACAGGATGCAGAGTATAGGTCGAAGTCGACACTGAAGGCAGCAGCAAGCTGCAGCCGCGTTTCCTTTTTGGGACGTAAGGCGATGGTCCAGTAAAGTGGGCGCGCTTTCCGGCAGACCATATACTGAATATGTATCGATTGTCATCCATGTCCTTTTATGGTTAGCAGCGCAAACTACGTTCGCACTACCTCCTTCCGGTTGAGCTTTGGGAGTCGTGGTCTTCACTCAGCAGTCATGTCAAGACGTCGTGGACGTACGAGCTTACCTCGAGCCTCTAGATCGGCTAGCCAAAGCCGGAGCGTTCAGTCCTTGGCGCGTCACTCTAGCCACGGCAAACACACTGCAGATGTCTCTCCGCCTGCCAATGATGATATCGAGCAACTTCATGACACAGCTGAACCACTAGCAACAGTCATTTTGCATTCATTTACAGAGCCTGAAACGTGTAGCTCTATATACAAGGAACACGATGTATATCCGGGTCGTCCTATATCCATGTGCTCACTTATTGATTACAAGCACCTAGGCTCCGCAGAATGCAATCCTGCCAGCAAACAGCACTGATCTTGAGGCACTACAAGTGTGCAACAATATGGGCGTTGCGGCTGACATCGCAGTATGCTCTCTACTGCTCTGCGGGAACTTTGGTCACCTTGTTGACTACTTACTCGTCAGGCCGGTGGAGACGTCGGGGGCTCGGGGTCCGGCAGCGCTGCCGCAGAGGGTGCCTCTAATGCCGACCTGAACAAAGGAGCTCGCAACATAGTTGGGGATCTGCCAACTCGTCACAGGACTGCTGCCATAGGAGACGATTTGGAAAGTATACCAGAACAGTCATTCGAAGACCCATGGAGTCTCTGTGCGGAGCAAGTCTGGAAAGTTGAGAATGCTCTAGTGGAGAAGTGGAAGGAAGACATTGGAAGCTTACTCGTCTTCGTAAGCTGCTAACGGCCCCTCGTCACCACGTAAATAACTGTGGCTTATAATCTGTCCCAGGACGGTCTCTTCATGACTATCCTCACTGGCTTCATTGTCGCATTCTATCCGTCGCTGCATCCTGATCCAAGTACGGAAGTGCTCCTGGTTATCGCCGCTCAACTGAGCACGATGACGGGTCAATCCAAGCTGACTCAGCAGCAGCAGGCTTCCCTGAACGACGCGGCGGCTACCTCCAGGCCGACACCGTGGATCTTATCTACGAGCACTCTGTGGTTTTCCGCAATGATCTGCGGCATGTGCGTGGCTTCAATTGCCATTGCCGTCGGCCAATGGCTACACCAACATCTCGATCGTCCGTCCATCATGTCGCGGCGGAGTGTCCTTATATGGGAGTCCCGTCGACGTGGGCTGCAGAAATGGGAGGTGCAATTCATCATCGACATGCTGCCGCTGCTTTTACAGATCTCCATGGCTTTGTTCCTGGTCGGCTTGCTGCAGCTCCTCTGGTCCTTGAGTTACATCGTCGCCATAGTCGCGACCGTATTGGTCGTGGTGCTTCTGGCACCTTCTGTCTGCTCTGTGTTCGTCCCAGCATTCGTGCCGGAGTGCCCTTACAAGTCGCGGACGGCGTGGTGGTTCTTTCGTCTCGTGTGCTGGCTCACTACTTCCCTCAAGTGGTTCCGCTCCATCCAACTCCGGAAGATGTGGATCAGAATCCGCACAGCATGGGCGTGGACTGCTGCAAAATTCCGTTCGCTTTCCTCACGAAGGTATCGGGGGTCCTCGATGTCAGCTACTGGACTGAGACATCTTTGCTCGAGAATCGCAGATGAAATCCAAAATCTGCGTCGTGCGTGCATGACACGTCTCTCCGCATGGTGTGAATGGTACTCGAAAGCTGCAAAGGCTGCCAACTGGAGGGAACTGGAAGATTACTCTACCCGCCTGCCAACGAGGCGGTATGACAATGGGTTGCGCTCCAATCTTATCGTGCTCGCAGAAGCCGACCAAATTGTCATGGACGACTCGTTCCTGGCATCCGTCATCCACCCATGCTTCCAGCAGAGCGACGTCGACGATTCAGTCCATGTATTGTGTCGCATTCTGGAGCGCCGGGCCCACGCATCGGTCGTGGGTCCTGACGCGAAATGGCCAACACTCAAGTGGTTCTCGAGCGAGCAGGACTCCGCTGCGACTGTTGCGATGGGCAATCTATGCGTTGACGTCCTCGCGAAGTACGATTTTCTTCCTTTGTACAGCGACGATGTGGCGCGCGTTGTAGATCATCTCCTGTACCTGATGCGCGCAATGCCTCCGACAAATTCTGCGAGAGCAGTCTGTCAGTTCGCAGCATATATCATGAATAGGGACAAATCACCGTGGTTCAAGTGGATGGACGAGGAAACGCGTTCGGCACGCATATGTGACCTTGCTCTCGGTGCCAGCGGTAAGCACGTCAAATTGGCATGTACACAATAAAACTGGTGGTCTGACCGCGGGAAAAGCATGTTTTGTGGAGCATGTCCTGCCAGATTGGCTTGAGGTAGTCGATATTGAGACGGCGCTGGGTGTTCTGAAGGCCCTCCCGCATTGTTGCAGCTACAAGGTACGTATCTCGCTTTCCCGGGATATCATCCTACGATGTGATGACTGATCACCGTATAGGAGGATAGTACTCGGATAGTACTCGGTAATATATACGTAGACATCTTTCGCCGGCTCCCCGTTCATCACGCTGATCAGAACCAAGTCTGGTGGGCCATACGTAGATGCGCCGAGTCGATGGGGCCGGAATCAACAACCGGGCACGGCTGGCTCATCGACGTGCTGATGCATCCCGGTATCTCGGTGAATGTCCGTGTGGAATGCATCAGGACTATGTGGTCTTATTGGCATGTGTGTTCTGCTGAAGCCCTCGGTATGTAAGTCGCTGCTCATCCTTATTTATGCCGTACCATATTCAGATCCCTATCGTGCTCATATTACACAGACGTAAAGCGATTTCTTGAATACGTGCCAGTTGCCAGGCGAGAGCTTGGCACGGTGTACTTCCTACAAGTACTAGCTTCTGCACTCGAGCTCCTCGCTCATGTCCCTCAGTCTGACCTGCCCCAGGTCCGCGATGCTGTCCTATCTGCAATGGCCACCATTCCTGATTGTTTCGGGCGGGACAACATCGACTCTGTAGTCCAAGAGCTCGATAGAAGAAATGGCTGGGACGAGTTCGTGTTTGTTCTTAGAGCGTGCAACAATCTCGCAACGTTGGACGCCAGCCTATTCACTCAAGATGTCATTGACTCGTTGGATCGATGCTATGGACACTATTCGCCAGGCAGAGAAGGGCACGCACGTCATACAAGGTGGCTGGAGAACATCCGTGCATGTTCTTCACATCTGATAAGTGACGAGCATGTAGGTGCCATCCACAGTTGAGCTATTGGAGGTCATAGTGTACTAGCAAATCTTCGTCAGGCACCCAGTCAAAAAGAGTCGAACATAAGTTCAAAATACATGTGAATACAGCAAGCCGCGGCAGTAGCTTGTGATTGGTTGAAAGCTGATGTACAACGCGTGCGAATTTGAGTGACCTGAGTTTGGTTTGAATTACATGCGGTCGGCGCGGTATGCATCGGGGTGTCCTTCGAAAATCTCATTGTATTTGTGCGCACGACACGGGCTTACTGACGAGCGTTCTGGCTGACTGCGTCTGCAGCTCATGACAATTGTCCCCTGTGATGTGGTATCAAAGCCGCACTCAGTGCCGCTGTCATGAACTAGATACCGCTGACCTGGCCTCACTCATCGTTACCAGCGTCGAGTCCCCGGAACTAGCTGCTTCACGACGACACACGCGAGTACGAAGCGGTTCAAAATTAAACTCCGGTAGCATGCCACGCGACCTGCTCCCGCTCGCGCTGGATCCTTTAGGAATATCTGCCCTACAGATGGTAATGCAGTTTAATGCAGATCGTGACAGAGAGCAAAGGACGGGATCCAATCTGCAGGGGCGTACCCGCACAGAACTGGAAAGAAGTAAGTGTTGAAACACGCAGCCCCGCGTGGTCAGGAACGAGCTCGAAAGCTCGGGCGCGCGAGTAGCCGGGGGCCGGAGGCCCCTATCGCAGTATATAATGACCCCGCGCGATGTACGTACCGCACGCGATTGTCCCTTACGGGCATCGCTACGCCCGCGGACAAACGCGCCCCGCGCCGTTCGCACCGTTGTTCCAACAGTAAGAGTAAGAGATAATAAAGGGTTCGCATTCAAGGAGGTCACGAACCGGTGGTGTGAGGTTGTAGCCGAACTGGACGGGAGTGTCGCTCGTCGACCATGCCCCAACAAGCTGCCAAGTTCAGTTTTGCGGCATCGTTAGTATCATGTTGTAAAGCGCACCTTGTCAATCAAGTCTTCGGTTTCCCACCGCCATGATCGAGAGGTATGTGGGTGGGCTTCAATCATCATTCAGGGTTGAGATTGCGCGCCGGGAGATAGACGACCTATCGCAAAGTACAGCACGAAGATAAGATGTGTGTAATCAATCCCTAGCTGTTGATCAGGGCCTTGTCTGGAAGCAGTATGCATATTCAGCTCGAGGATTATTAGGTGGTGGTGTGTCGCTCACGCAAGTATGAATATTGACCTGGCACAATCAATCTGTATTCGAGGACCAGTGAGCGATATCTCGTTCGGAAGGCCGTTCTCTCCGTTCTCATCAGACCTCTGCCTGGTAGGGTACGGTGAAATAGGCCAGGCTAATTAGCCTCGGTTAATTAACCCTTGCTAATTAGCGCTAATTAGCCGTAAATTTCACGAGGCTCGAAAAACCAGGGTTAAATAGGGTTAAATAGGGCTAAGTGACTTGCGCTGATTTTGGACATGTTCCAAATGCAGTAAGAGTTAAGCCTTGCAGTTGTTATCCAGGGAGACCACTAATTGCAGTTTCCGACCTCATCGACCTCAACGCGCCATTTCTGAAGGACATTCTTGCTAATGAGCGTCCCGAAGTACTGCATTGGGACTAAAATAGAGTAGATCATGTATTGAATTTGAAGGCCATTGACGGACCTGGGATGAATAGTAGCAGCTGCTGTCCAGGTCTTGAGTTGCTGGGTGACTTAAACATCACATAAGGCTACTTTAGTGGTAAAAAGTGCTCATTAGGCCATGTTCTATACCAGCTAATTAGCTGTAAATTACATAGGTTAATTTGACCCCTCACACAGGCCTGGGCTAATTAGCTGGTTAAGTAGGTCACTGTACCCATTTCACCATACCCTACTGCCTGGGGATCTACAAATCCCCTGCCAACAAAGACATTGATCTGCTACCATCAGAGCTATACAGGCTTTGAGGGGCACATTGTTATCAGAGATAACATTCAATTTAGAAAATAGATACGGTAACTGTTAGAGTGCAAGCTCTGGTGCAGGTGACTCGGGAGAATGTTCAAGAAGCCCTTCACACAGACACTCGTTCATACAAGACATCTGGTGATGATGCACCTGTCGCAACTTGAGGTCAAGCGACAGGGGAAAACCAAACAAGGACGCTGGGGGCGTTCGACTGGGTCTCACCAAAGCGATGGTGAGCAATGCTCAAACCTAAGGCTAGGGACAAGATAATATATTAGTTAAGTAAGAAAGGAATACAAAGGGATGCTTACTGACCTACGGACAAGAGGTCGAAACTGAGGTCCCTAGGGCAGTAGAGGCCGGCTTATATACAGGGGAAGATAAGGGCAGGCTGTGCGCATTGGTCTGTGCACAGACCAGCTGTGCACGGACCAGCGCGCACAGCCTGCCCTTATCTCCCCCTGTATATAAGCCGGCCTCTGCTGCCCTAGGGACCTCAGTTTCGACCTCTTGTCCCTAGGTCAGTAAGCTCCTTTGTATCCTTTACTTACCTTCACTAACTAATACATTTCTTGTCCCTAGCCTTAGGTTTGAGCGCTGCTCACCATCGCTTTGGTGAGATTCAGTCGAACGCCCCCAGCCTTTAGATTCTCTCCTGTCGCTTGACCTCAAGTCGCGACACAGGGCCTGAGCTGTGCCGCACACTGCCACCCATCTAATCTGATCGTACAGTAGATAAGGAAATGTCCGTTTCAGGCGTATAGTACAGAGGTTGCGAGTTCAAGCCCACGAAAGGGAAAAAATTAAAAAGATGGCTAGGCACTGTGTCAACTCGTGACAGCGCCTGTGGTGTAGCCTGGACATTGTTTGGACATTGTTTGGCTTACTATACAGTCCCCTCTTTTTGTATCATAGGACTCTCACTCTCGCGTGTGGACTGACTTCAGTTTGTCCCTTATGGCCTACTGAAGTCAATATATTCACTGTCTTGTACAGTGCACTCGTCCCGCGTTAGGTTTCACAGTAACTACCTGTTGCGGCACAGTAACCATTGGGGGCTAAAGGCAAAGAGAATGAAAGCAATGAGGGAGAAGTGCCATGAGTTGACACAGCATCTAGCCATTTTTTATTTTTTTCTTTCTGTGGGCTCGAACCCACGACCTCTGTACTATATGCTCCAATGGACAAATCCTTATCTACTGTATGATTAGATTAGATGGGATGGCAGTGCACGGCACAGCTCGGGCTCCACTGACACAGCTTGAAACATTTGTCTTTCCGTTCTATTCCTTGTACTACTAGCGCCCATACTGGCGCCTGTCTTAGCGCTCACCCGCAGGTTGAACATTATGTAGCTTACATAATGGGGTCCGTGCACACTTCATATTCGGCATCGTACCACTACATTTCTTTCTTCACTAACACGACCACATAGACACGATGGTCCGTGCGCAGTCAGTACTTGTATAAGTAGTTGTACCATTAGTCGGTCGAACCCTAAGTTTGACCTGGTTATTCATTCAAGTCTCTGCTCCTCTTCGCTTGGGGTAGTGGTCATTCTCGACTTCCTCGCTCGATCTTCTGGATGATGCACTGTCCATAAGTCCTCGCTCGTCGTCTACGAGTCAGGCATCAATATAGGAGTATAGACCGTTGTATCAAAAGGTCGAACTTTCTAAGCTACGTTCCTAGTTTCACCTAGTCGAACAACTCATCCACCATCACGTCGAACAACGCAGTAAACCCGGTTCCCTTGGGACTACCAGCCCTTGCAGGATCTCCCCTTCTCCAGTACGACCGAGCAGACCGTTGCTTTGTCACCACCACAAGAAGGACTCCCATCTATCCTCGAGGCAGCTCCTGGGTTCGCGCAGAAGGCTCCAACCCGCAGATCGTTGCCCATCAACAGCTTGTCAGCTATTATCAGAGACACCCTCCCGCTCACCCAGAAGACGTATTTGCCACCCTACAAATCAACGTCGAACCAGCACAAACAACAGAGAACCTACAGTCACCTGTTAACGAACAACCGTTCGAGCTCCCGGACGTTCAGTACGTTCCCATCGAGGCTCCAGAACTACCACCAGCTCCACCTGCACCAACCAACGCACCGGTTGAAGTCCCTATGGCAACGTTCACTCAAGCAGACATCGATCAGTGCATCGCTGTCGCCCTCGCAGCATACCAATCCCAACAGTCAACTGCCAACCGACCCCTTCGCCTTGACATCCCCGCTCCTGAACCTTTCAGCGGAAAGGCGGAGGACCTCAGATGCTTCATCCAATGCATCCTCTCCTACTTCGTCGCCACCAACAACACCCGACTCAGTGATGAAGCAAAGATTGCCTTCACTGTAGCGCTGATGAGGAAGGATCTGGGGAAAACATGGGCGGACGTGTATTACGAGAAGTCGGCAGGGGGAGTCCAGGTCTATTCCACTTGGGCAGACTTCGTTGCCGCTCTAGAAGAGGCATTCCCTGAGCACGGAACACGAATCAAGGCACATCAAATCCTGATGAAACTGCCTAAACGACAGAAGGATAGGAAGATGGCACTCTCCCTCGGTAACTACGTCACCCGCTTCGAGCAGCTAGCATCAAAGGCTCAGCTCAAGGACACCGAGGTCAATGGCACCAACCGCGTCGAGAACGACTACCACACTCTCCATGCCAACTTTGTCAAAGGACTCCTGAAGGAGCTGTATTTTGCGCTCGCAACAAGGGTCGCTAGGGATCGACCCAACACCATGAAAGCCTGGTATGACGAAGTACGAAACGCTGACACAGCCAAGCAAGGGGCTCTCGTTGTCACAGACACCAGGGACTATGGCAAACCAATGGATATCGATGCCGCTGCCGTTGCATCAACCTTCGCCTCCACATTGGGAGGAAGGAAATGGGAACTAGGAGCCGTTCTCAACAAGGCCGATCGGAAGCTCCACAGGGACGGAAACCTGTGCTTCTACTGCCACATCAAGGGCCACAGCGCCAAGGATTGCCGAAAGAAAGTGGCCGCACGACAAGGGGGTGGAAGGCCGAACCAGGG